GAGGCAAAGTATGTTCTGAGGATAGTGCCTATGTGCCACTCTACTCATATTACCATGTAAATTGCCATATTTTTGCCTATTCATTGCATTGTTTGAACATCCATCCATTTTCTTCCCACAGCCCCTCAATGGCTGCTGTGTCAGTGAGAGCGTAGTCTTGATCTTTCAGGGGGATAAGGGCACAACGACGGCAGACGTCAGTGGGAGTCGGTGGATAAGGTCTGGGGGACGGGGATTTAAAAATAAAATGTTCAGGCCTTGGAAAAGTTTGAAAAAAATATGTATTCAGTATATCGATTCAGTATATCCATATCCAGTGATGATCTTTCCGACCGGACCAGGAGCACTCCTTCCGGGAGCAAAACTAATACAAAGTGACAATCGACTGAGCTGGTTGCATGCGTTGTATAGCATGGCGTATGGATGAACTATGAATTTAGAAGATGCCTTTTTGGTTTGGGCCACAAATATGTCCTTAAAGAACAAAGCTATCACTGCATTTACTGTTAAACCTGTTCTTGTGAATGCTGCAGGCTCACTTGTGCATGTACCGTACTCTTTGACAGAGTAGGTTTCATATGTGTAGAAATATTCCAAAAATAAGGCCTCTTATGAATGTTGGTAGTGAGTTGTGCTTTGTCCCTTGGTCCTTGTTTTTTTCATTAACAGGATCAAAGTCTGTGTGGGTAAACAAGGCATGTAATTATTAACAATTATTTTGATTGATTAATTGATTAGTTGACCGATTATTCTTTTCTTTAATGAATTGGTTGGTTAGATCCAACAAATGTTTTTTTTTTTTTTTTATACACTTGACCAAAACAACGCTCAAGTGAAGTCCCTGGAGAACTACTCCATAACGATGACTTGTTATACATTTGGTTGTAACACATTGTAATTTTATGCTGCTGTCATTGTATATTTATTTAATACAACCTCTTCTCTGCATGTTTGAGTCTAGTGAACAACTAGTAATATAAAAAGATTAATTGATCACTAAATTAGTTGGCCGCTACTTCAAAATTTGACTTTAAGGCAATTATGGTGATTTAATGTTATTATATTGCAGACCTAAAACTGGATTGACATTCGGAGGAAACTGTCATCTGTTTGAAAGTGTTCAAATAAATCAGACTATTTCCTTTTTGTGTCAGTTCAATCTGCTAAATTCTTGTAAACATACAAAAAATTGACCAATAAATGTGGATATTATATAGTCTCATATCAAATATCAAAAATGATAGCTCTCACTAAAGGGATTTTAAGTAATCACAGAATTGGAGATCACCCAGGTAATGGATGTTGACTTGTATTTGATGTGATTATATTTTAAGTATCAAAGTATCATTTTTTTTAAATGCATTTTTTCAGTTTTACTTTGGTCACACTCTGGAGCCCTGATCTATTGGATGAGTTTTGGATTGAGTAATTCATTCACTTTTTTCCATCATAGCCCACCTCGTTAGTATCAAAGTCTTTGTAGTTCGTGTTGCACATTCTCATGGGTCAAATGCATCAGCCTAAAACCAGGGATCAGTTCTCAGTCATCTGAGAAGTGTGCGCTCAGGTCTGTGCGCACCTGCTCCTCTCTTCATCACACCTTCTCCGCTCAGACCAGGCATCGAGGGACAGCTGACTTCAGTGTACTGTGCAGTTGGTCCAGTCAATTCAATGCATATATTGTAATAATAATGACAATGACAACCATAATTCATGCAAAAAATAATTGTTTAACTATACTTATGAATTAGTCATGAGAGCCATGCAAAAACAGCTCAGTTTAGAACACTTGCTCAATTAGTTCTGTGTGTTTCAGTTTCACATGTTTTCTAAAGTAATTAAGGGGTCTAATAAATGAATGAATAACAAAGTTAAATGGGTCTACGAGATTGGGACCAATTTCCAAACAGGTGCTTGCACACTGCATTGTATTTTAATGGATGCATTTTAACAAAAAAATTTTATAGTAACAATCTGGAAATCAAGATCAGTCTATAAAAGACATTTTCTTTCCCCAGATCGCCCCACTCTGTACTTGCTCCTTTTTGAAAATGAATTCACAAGATTCATCTGTTCATTTTTGTTGCAGTGTGGATCCAACTACAGTCTCAGATGCTTTTATCATAACACAACATGCACTTAGCTGTCTTTGGCTCTAACAGCTACACTCTGCATCCTTTCTATTTAAAGCCTGGTTCACACGAGACGATTTTAAAATTGTCGGCCAATTTTTCTCCGTGTTAGACCACACACGGGGAGATTAAAAATCCTGCGTCTAACCACTTTGGTCGTGCAGTGTGTGGTGCGTAGCCACACGGCAAGATCACGCAAGCCACAAACATCACACACGAACCGACACCCCCCCCCCCGAGCATTCCCAGGTCAGACGGAAATCTCACAAAATCTCTCGAGATCAAGCGTGACTTCAGAGTAAACAGTCATGGCGGACGAAGAGGATGCAGTGGCGATAGTGTGCAGTTTGTTGTTAACAGAGAAGACACGTAATCCAAAGAAAAGGCAATGGTCAAAGCCATGCTGTCTGTGTTTTGGTTTTTTTCCGGTGTTTCCTCACCGGCTTGTCACCTCGTCTTCTTATTGGCTACACGCCGTAGTCATGGCAACGCGCTCGCTTGTCCTCGGAGGACACCACACACGACGAGAAATCGGGCCAAAACAATCCAACATGTTGGATATCCCCGATTTGAGATCGGGAGCAGTCCCGATGTCCTTCCGAGCGACGAGTGCAGTCTTAACACACCACACACGGCAGGATAATCTGTAAGATTTTGTTACGGAAATCGGAGCGTTTCTTAAGATTGTCGTAAGGGGTAAATCGGGTCTAAATCGGCCTAAATATCCTGCCGTGTGAACCAGGCTTAAGCTAATAATTCACTGATCATTTAGCCAAATCTCTCAATGTGGGGGCACAAGATGATTTTTAAGATAAAATCATAACAGTTCTTTTCTTTTTCATATAATATGTCTTTTTCATATAACAAATATCTTTTTCATATAACAAATAATATGCTGAATGCTGCAATGCGTCCAGCACAATTTGACATTTCAAATCATTATTGCTATAAACATTAGGTGAAGGGCCAAGGTTGGATAAAATCAAATTGCATTGATAACATTTTTAAAAAGCGGTAACTTAAGAAGGAAGAGATTTGGTATTTTTTGGGTGGAAGTGACGGTAGTACATTTTTTTTAAAAGGCTGAAACCGTATAGATGTCATAGTGTAAGAATCACCATAGCATGGTAGTTGTGTTGAGCGAGGAGTAGGGTTGGGCACCGAGAACCGGTTCCTATTTGGAACCGGTTCCTAAAGTGCGGTTCCGGAACCGTTAAGAAGACGTTTGTATTTTGATTCTTTTTTCGATTCCTAAATGCCGGATGCGGCCCGCACAGCGGCGTCGGAAGCGTTTGGAAGGTGGGGGGGGGACACGTTTCAAAAATGCTTTGCAGCTGTCCACCTTTGTGCTTTGTGAAAAACTCAGTGAATTAAGCTCTTATGAGACGGCGCACTCGTGTTTGCATCCACATTTCGCTTCAGCCACACACTCCTGCCATCACAAAGAAACCTCTCAACGCTTGTATCTTCACATTTTCCACAAACGCAGATAAAACTGAGTCAAGGGGTAAAGGAAGCAAACATTTATCCGTCAAATGACTAATTCAGATATTATTTGGTTAAGTTAGAGTCCAGACAGCGAGGTTTAACGGGCGTATTGACCGGTTGAACACTCGTGCTAGCCCGCTAAGCCCGGTGCAGTTTCCCCAAACTCACGCTACATCAGTTTCATCACTCGCTTTACAAACACATCCAAAACTGATGTTCCTTACCTTAAAGTTACTGGTCAGGCCCTTTGTAATGATGAAGAAGGGAAACACGCTGTCCACCTGCCGAGGACCGCAACAAGTCCTGCTCCTCCTCCATGTAATAATCCATAAAAAACTCCGAAAACACGATGCACGAGTCCTTGTGCTTTGGTCAAATCTGTCAGTCCGTCCAACGATAATCCTCCAGTATTCTCACTTTAGCCGTTTTTCAGCGGTTTACAGAGACGTGTTTACATTTCAGCCGCTCTGAGATGATGGTGGGCGGTGCCACATAAACACCGCTTGTGTGTGCGTGTGTGTGCGTGCGTGCGTGCGTGCGTGCGTGCGTGTGTGCGTGTGTGTGTGTGTGTGTGTGTGTTCGTGTTCCTTGTTTTTTAATTTAATTTGTTTTTATGTAAAGCACTTTCTGTTGCCTTATGGCAGGAAAAGTACTTATGAAATAAAATTTGATAAAAAATTATCTTTTTTTTTTTCTCTCCTGCACCTCAAAGAATCGGAATCGAGAATCGTTTAGAACAGGAATCGATAGTGAGAATCGGAACCGGAATCGGAATCGGAAAATTGCAAACGATGCCCAACCCGAGGAGCATCTAGACCAGACCTGAGAAAGTCAGTTGAGTAGTGTTTTGTGTAGGGGTGTGACAATATATCGTGACATCGATATATCGCGATACTTTCTCCCGCGATTCAATTATCAATATGCATTTGCATTTTTTTAAATTTAAAACAATTTGTATCAATACTTAATACATGGCTACATTACGCATCTCCATTCCATTGATCATGAAATAAAGTGTATTTTTTCATTTAATATTTTTCTTTTATTTATGCCATAAATTGGCATATGGTATATTTCTGACCAATATATCAATAATCGTCATATCGTGATATCGTTAACGTGAGCTTTGTATCCTGTATCGTATCATGAGGTACCCTTAGGTTCCCACCCCTAGTTTTGTGGCAATAAGATGTAAATGGTATCAGAGCCCAACATTCTAATTCCTTGTTTATTCAATTCCCAGTCAGATTATCCCATTCCCTGAATTAGCTTTGGCTTTTTTATAGTTTGAGACAAATCTATGAGACAATACCTGCCATTACTAATATTTATTCTTTAATGGACCTTTTAATCATTTATACTGTTTTTTTCTATCTTCAGAGAATGCCAGCCCCGATCAGACTGCGGGAGCTGATCCGGACAATCCGGACAGCACGAACCCAGGCAGAGGAGCGAGAGATGATCCAGAAAGAGTGTGCTGCTATCCGCTCATCTTTCCGAGAAGAAGATAATACCTATCGTTGCAGAAATGTTGCAAAGCTACTCTATATGCACATGTTGGGCTACCCAGCACACTTCGGACAGGTATGCATGTGTGCACACTCATTTACACTGTTAACCATTCGAGTTTTACACTTAGTAAGCAATCATTTCTTTTAGCTGGAGTGCCTAAAGCTGATTGCGTCCCAGAAGTTCACAGACAAACGAATTGGTTATTTAGGTGCTATGCTGCTGTTGGACGAGAGGCAGGATGTTCATCTACTAATGACAAATTGCATAAAAAAGTGAGTACATCTAAAAAACGAGGCTGAAGTCTCATTGTCTGCAGCTCATTGTGCCTTTTTCTCTGCTCTCCCCAGTGACCTAAATCACAGCACCCAGTATGTCCAGGGTCTGGCTTTGTGCACATTGGGCTGCATGGGCTCATCAGAGATGTGTCGCGACTTGGCTGGCGAAGTGGAGAAGCTGCTAAAAACATCCAACTCGTACTTGAGAAAAAAGGTAGGTGGTTTTCATTTTTACTCAGCCTTACATTAAAACATTACAGACAAGATCATAATCGACTTGTGAACACCAACAATATTTGCAGGCGGCCTTGTGTGCAGTTCATGTCATCAGAAAAGTTCCAGAACTTATGGAAATGTTCCTTCCAGCTACAAAAAACCTGCTCAGCGAGAAGAACCATGGTAAGAGCAAATATTTTTGTAGATGCCCTCCAGCTAAAGGAGAAATCCCATATTTATCCTCACTATTCAGAACTACTGTATATCTAACATCAATTCTGCATTGAAAAAGGAAAAAGATATGGGTGTTCACATGATTTTATATATCTACCCAAAAAGTTATACGTCTTGCAGATGAATGTGTCTGCTTTAATGTTGGAACTGCAATTATCTTTGTAGTTACCAAGTGAGTACTTGAGGCTGCTTTGCACATACTTCGTTTGAAGACATTTTATGCAACCCTTTGCTGGTGTATACCATTTGTATTTATGTGAAAAACGTACACAAAAACATTGTTCAAGAAATATTTATACAATATAAATTTTTTTAAACATTTATTTTACCAAACAAAATATTGACAATATTGGCCTTGTTTTATTATAGCAACAAATATGATTTCCATCTTCAGTCCCTGATTATTCGTCTTTTGTCTGGCGTTAGGTGTTCTTCACACATCGGTTGTTCTCCTCACTGAGATGTGTGAGAGAAGTCCAGATATGTTGGCCCACTTCCGAAAGGTACAAAGATTTGTTTTCAAAGTGCAAACAGTTGTGCCCACACATGACATCTCATTTCCCTTTGCACATTATACATTATCTTATCGCTAAGTAAACAGACAGCTCCACATGCTGCACCATGTTTCAATCTTGAACTCTGTCTACTTTGTGTGTACTGCTTTGGCTGTTCTGCTGCTGCCTTTTCTTCTCTAGGTGTAAGAGCGTTCAGAATTGCCACTCTCATGGTCATGAGCTGTACATATTTTAGCTTTCTGAAAGTGAATGACTTCCCCTCCCTAACATCTCCCTCATATTTTTTCTGTCATTTGTCTTTGTTACAATTCCTGCATTGTGTTAGAATGAGAAGGTAAGAGTACATTCTGATCTCATAGCTGGTGCATGCTGTAAATAGTAATAATCACAGTCACCACAAATGTTAATGTTTTTGTTTGTCATAAAGTTTTCCTTGATTTTATAAACCTTTTAAGTGATCATCTTTCATCACTGAGTCAAATAGCTGAAAACTGGATTTTTTCTGACGCATTACTCTGGATGTTCTTAGATTGCACTTATTTAGTCACAATGGTGTTAATCTAATAATAAACTTTGGGCACCATCATAGCAACCCAAACACAATAATTGTCTGTCCGTCCTGCACCTGTACTCCACACTGGAAAAGGCTTTTCATTTATGGAACATTTGTGTGTGTTTTTTATTTGGAATATTTTTTTTTAATTGCCCAAAGTTATATTTTACAGAATATATACAAATATCTAATTGTTATATCTATTATAATTTGACTGAGAATAGATTGCAGCACAAAATATTCAGTTGTTTGTGATTCACAGTATGTCCCTCAACATCAATAAAACTCTCATGAATGTTGACGTAAGCTGACGGCTGTTAATTTTTCTATTATTTTGATTAGCTGGTTCCACAATTGGTGCGGATCCTGAAGAATCTAATCATGTCTGGGTATTCACCTGAGCATGATGTGTCCGGCATAAGTGACCCTTTCCTCCAGGTAAAGCTTGTTCCAGGTGTAAAGGACGAGTTGTAACATTTCCCCCAGACACCCATTGTTCTCATCCTCTGCGTGAACAGGTGCGGATATTAAGACTTCTACGAATTTTGGGAAAAAGTGACGATGACTCGAGTGAAGCAATGAATGACATTCTTGCACAAGTATGTTTTTCAAGTTCATAAAAATAACTTATTTAGCAACGTACTGGTATCACTAAAATATAACCTCATTTTTTAGGTTGCAACAAATACAGAGACGAGTAAAAATGTTGGCAACGCCATTCTATATGAGACTGTATTGACCATAATGGACATAAAGTCTGAAAGTGGACTTCGGGTGAGTTTCTTCTATCCAAGAAGTTAAAACTGTCAAATATACTTATTTATAATTCATTGATCTATTTATAGGTCTTGGCCATTAATATTTTAGGTCGTTTCCTTTTAAATAATGACAAAAATATAAGGTTAGTACTCCATGAAGTTGATCTTCATCACAATATTAAAGAGGATTAAAATAGTTCATATATTTTGTCAGGTATGTGGCCTTGACATCGCTACTGAAGACTGTACAGACAGACCATAATGCCGTGCAGAGGCATCGGAGCACCATTGTGGACTGTTTGAAAGACCTAGATGTCTCAATTAAGAGGTACAGTATTTGTGTTTTAATTAAATGATACACAATTTCTTTTTTTCATGGTTCAATGTTTTTTGTAGACGTGCAATGGAACTCAGCTTCGCTCTTGTCAATGGTAACAACATCAGAGGAATGATGAAGGAACTGCTGTACTTTTTGGATTCATGTGACCCAGAATTCAAAGCCGACTGTGCATCAGGAGTCTTTTTAGCTGCAGAAAAGTATGACCACCAGTACATTTACACATATTTAAATGTCCTTATAATTGTATATGGGGGAAAATGGTCTGAATCGATATATAATGCTGAATGATGATATATGAGTGATCCATCGTCTGATATACCAGTGCTGATAAACATGTAATGCCTGACAGCATTTTTAACTGAGCAATGTGAATAAATTGACACTTTTTTTTTTTTCTAATCCAAGTTTTATATTTGTTTTTAGATATGCCCCTTCCAAACGATGGCACATAGACACAATTATGCGGGTTCTGACCACAGTAAGTGCTCCTCAATGGTTTGTATACTATATATATTTATAGGATGTTGACTTTTAACTGGACTTTCTGACTTCAGGCTGGGAGCTATGTCCGAGATGACTCTGTTCCTAACCTCATCCAGCTGATCACCAACAGTGTGGAGATGCATGCTTACACAGTCCAGAGACTCTATAAGGCCCTGCTGGATGACATTTCTCAAGTTAATATCCATTCATGACAAAAAATAAATTGCATTACCCTGTGTTAAAATATTAACAATGTTTTTGTATTTGCAGCAACCTCTAGTGCAGGTGGCATCGTGGTGCACCGGTGAATATGGGGACCTGCTTGTATCTGGACAATGTGAGGAGGAGGAGCCCATCCAGGTATCTCATGTCATTACTTTAAAGGTCCTATATCACGCTTTTCTTCATGTTTCACACTCAATCCTATACACATGTGTGATATTAATGTGTGTGATACACCACACAACAATCAAAGCTTGTGAGATTAGAGCCATCTCTTGTATAGAGGTGACGTCACCTCGACTCAAACGAGCTGATCCAGAGTCTGCTCCTCTGCCTGTGAGCCCGCCTCCCCCCGCCCGCACGGTGACGTAGCATCACGCTTTTGTCGTTTATCACCTGTACTTAGTAATTTCATACATAAGAATAAACTTTTTCCAACAATGACAATCCGTCACATCGAGCCCTATGTCCTCGATGCACAATCAGACCCTAGTTATTTAGTTTACAGAAGTATACAGCGAGTTAGCGTCACTACTTACAGATCGAGGGGGTCCGAGGTACGTCTTTTACCGTGGGAATAACGTGTTTCCAGATCAGCTTTTGAGTAAGTCCAGTTCCATTGTCCCTGTAGTTCTGGAACAGTCTCAGTGAAGTGTCGCAGATGAACGGTATTATAATAGATCCATGAGATGAACAGATGAAAAAAGTCGAGCCGCTTTCTTCCTCTTAGGGCCAAATAGTGCGTCACATATTTACACCCATAACACACTTCATTCAAGTTGACGTGATCCTAACACTTTTAGTTGCTGACAAAAGCATAAAAACAGCAGCTCTATGTGGTGTCCGCGAGACCAGACCACAGACGCTGGACTCGGGAGCCGGAGCCTGTGCACTCTGATTCGCTGTTTTGATCCGTCAATCACCTCCCGCCGGCTTTTAATTTATTTATATTTTTATTATTTTTGACAAAAAACAGCATATTAATTGTGTATTGTTTACCCCGTTTTGACAAAAGTATTTAACAACTATTTTAAATACAAAGCAACGGGGTCATGCGCGTCATCAGTGTGGTTTTCGTCACTGAACTGGACCCGAGCGTTTCTGTGCCTCACGCTGGGGAAGGAGACAGATTGTTTTCTTACAAAAGATTGACAGAATCAATGAATAAACTACTGTGGGCTTGTGTATGAAGGCCAAATAGCATTGTAATCATGTTTAAAGTAGAGAAAAGTCAAAAACCGTGATATAGGCCCTTTAAAGAGTTTTAAAGCTGGAAGCTGAAACCTTTCGAGCTGAATGGTTGGGGATTGAAGTTTTACAAAAACGCATAGGGTTAGGGTTCAGGGAGGCTTTAAGAATTGTGTTTGCCTTTTGGCCATGACACAGGAAAGATTAGTCAATTTCAACTGTATTTTCTTGGTTTAATACTTTAATAATAATTTTAAACTCTAGTTTTTTCTCATTCATCACATAAGTGTTTTTTGCAATGCATGTCACAATGTTCATAACGCACAACACAAGTTACAGTTTACTCACTGCAAACGTCGCTGAGGTGACATTTGGTTTAATCAAGAACAGACATAACACGATCTATAGCAGTCATGCCCTAGTTGTTAATTAGTGACACTAATGAACGACTGATGACAGTCGTGAAACTTCAGAATTGCACTGAAAAGAACAATGTCTTGGATAATTCTGCTTTACTGTAATTTGTCATTGTAATAAGAGTTTAAATAATATTTTTAAATGCAATAGTAAGTCTTTTATATATGTTTCAGGAATGGTTGGTCTTCATGTAGACACAAAGACCTCTGATTATAATTTGGATCTTTTGGCGCTGCAAAGTACCCGCCCACCTCCAGTTAGACTCTGTTGTTCCTTCAAACACCTGATTTTGCAAAATTTCTACGCAGAGTTCTGATGGATATGTAACTTTTTAAAGCGACCCTTTAATTACACTGTTCAAATAGTCGTATTTGTTAAATGTATTTTAGTTTTTAACACTGCTCGTCCACAAGACGACACCATATAAAACATTCTTCCACTTGTCCAAACTCGGCCTAGACTGATTAAAGTCGTACTAGAATTTGATATGCTGCTATCCAGAATATATAACTAGAATATGTGTTTATAATATTTCGGGTGTTCATTTTGACATGTTCAGATGAATTATGTTAAAAAACGGCTTTGAAGTGGCACCTTTTAACAAACGCTAGGGGGAGCCAAAATGGCGGCGATGACGTAGGAGAATGACATCTCACAGCAGCAGACAGCAGTCTTAAGCCTGGTTCACACGAGACGATTTTAAAATTGTCGGCCAATTTTTCTCTGTGTGAGACCCCACACAGGGAGATAAAAAATCACGGGTCTAACCACTTTGGTCGTACAGTGTATTTATTTACCACAATGTACATTGTAATATTCAAAAATGCTAATCAAAATAACTTGAATTAAATAAATATTTTACTTTTATGAACAAAAAGCTGCAGAAGTTGAAAACATAGACTACATGTAGGGGTGCAACGGTTTGAAAAAATCACGGTTCGGTTCGTACCTCGGTTCAGAGGTCACGGTTCGGTTCATTTTTTGGTTCATTTTTCTAAAAAAAAGTTTTGTCTTTTTAATAAACACAGCTCATGTGGACTCGGCTTCTGCTCTGACTGCCCCCCCCCCTGACCTAGAAATGAATTAAGGGGAAGGAAATGGATGGAAGGCATATTCCATCCATCCAATTATGTCTATTTAACATAATTAATGAAAAACAACACAAAGTGCAACATAAGAAGGCACTTTATGAGGATATTTACCCTCATATATTACACCACCTTCCTGATTCTCCCGAGGAGGGGGTCCATTCTGGGCCCAGCCTCATTCACTGCATTTATTTAATTTTTGGCATTATCAGTTGTGACTGGGATATTAGTACTGGGCCTTTGTCTTCCATTCCTCCGCTGCTGTGTCAGTACCTGGGCTGTGTGAGAGTGTGACTGTCGTAGAGGGGGCGTGTCTTCAGCGCCAGACTTTTCATCTCCCAGTCTGCGGTGATGAAGTGAGCGGTTCCGCTCATGGATCTATTATAGGTTCCGCGGGACGTCCAAGCGTCAGTCGTGAGCGCAGCTGAGGATGCGCGGGAGAGTTGACTTTAGCCCGGTCTGACTGTGCGTAAAGGAGCTGCTTAAATGCCGCGACAATAGGTGGTCGTTGAGACGCTTTTTTCACTCATGTCTTTCTTGGTCCACAGTGCTTACACATCGTGACAGTTTTGTCGAATATTAATCATCAGTATAGTTACAGTGAAGCCAAAATGCTCTCATACTGGGGATTTAAATGACGCGGGGCTTTCAAGCATCTCCGTTCCTCCGCTCGCAATGACCGCGCTGTGTGTGGACTGAACAACGTGCGCACAACTTTTTTTTCATAAATCAAACCGCGGATCACGTCTGTACCGAACCGAAGACGTTGAACCGAACGGATCACGGATCAGTGATGAACCGTTGCACCTCTAACTACATGTGATGCAATCATTGATAAAAATGCTCATTAAACCGTTAATAGGTGTTAGCATTTTTGAATATTACAATGTACATTGTGGTAAATAAATCTAAGGCAACCAAAGTGAGACTGGCATAATGTAAAAACGAATATTAGCCTTGTTAGCATGTTTTATGATATCAAGTAGAGTTAGCTAACTTGCCCAACACTAATTAGCTTGAATCTCACAAATAAGGCTAAAACGTTAAGAGTTGCACACTATTATTTACAAAACTTATGAAAATATGTTTATACCTTGTTCAGATGACAGTGAAACCTCCTACAGTTTCCAGCTAAGACTGCTGTCCGCTGCTGTGAGATGTCATTCTCCTACGTCATCGCCGCCATTTTGGCGCCCCCTAGCGTTTGTTAAAAGGTGCGACTTCAAAGCCGTTTTTAACATAATTCATCTGAACATGTCAAAATGAACACCCGAAATATTATAAACCCATATTGTAGTTATATATTCTGGAAAGCAGCATATTGAATTCTAGTACTACTTTAATGTTTTGTATTTTAATTAAGGTGACTGAAGATGAAGTTCTGGATGTGCTGGAAGGACTTCTTGTGTCTAATCTGTCAACTCCTGTAACGCGAGGCTATGCGCTCACCGCCATCATGAAGCTCTCCACACGCTTCAACAGTGTAAAGTAAGAAACACTTCAATATTTCTTGAAGGATGATCCTGTATCTGATCTTTTATTAAAACATGTTTTCCAGCCGAATTAAGAAGGTGGTTTCAATATATGGGAGTAGCATTGATGTGGAGCTGCAACAGAGAGCTGTGGAATATAATGCACTTTTCAAAAAATATGACCACATGAGGTAATAACTTCCTTGCATGTTTTTATTGTAATATAGCATCTAACTGGAAACCTTTTGCCAGAAAATGTCTAGTTTTCATGCAAACTTAAATATCCGTCTCCTTTAGGCCAGCTTTATTAGAACGCATGCCCATCATGGAGAAAACCTCCACAAATGGCCCAACAGAGATTGTACAAACTAATGGAGAGTCGGAGCCCTCTGTTGTAGAGCCTAAACATCTACCCCCAGTTAGCCAGCCGTCCAACCAGGTAAGTCAAACACATTTGCATGGAGTTTAAGAAAACAGTTTCATAATGTATTTTCAAATTCTCATATTCTCTTGTTTTGTCTTCAAGGCAAACGATTTATTAGATTTGCTTGGTGGTAACGACGTTCCAGTAATTCAGACAACACTACCAACTAAACCAGCTTCAGCAGGTGGAGAGCTTCTTGACCTGCTTGGTGATCTCTCTCTAAGCAGTAAGTTGAGCAATGCCAACATTTGTTTCTATAATATTTCACTTTATGTATCTTCTCTTGACAAGCCCTGTTCTTGTCATTCATTAGGCAATTCAGTGCCTCCTGCTCCCTCTCTCCCAGTTGCCCAGCCTCCTTTCCTTCTAGATGGCCTTTCCTCACCGCCTCTTTTTAATGACATTGCTGCTGCAGGTCAGGGTCTTTCAGTTGTCTTGTTTTAGTGGAAAGTCTGGTTAATTGTACTAATTTAAATGTTGGATCTACAAAGGTATTCCCTCCATGACGGCATACAACAAGAATGGTTTGAAGATAGACTTCACATTTGAGAGGGCTAACCCCAATCCAAACATTGCCGTCATCACCATTCATGCTTCCAACACGACAGAAGCAGAAATGACTGACTTTGTGTTTCAAGCTGCTGTACCAAAGGTGAGCAGTACTACATTTATAAAATAACTGCTTTTATGTGGGGCGTTATTTTCTTAATTCTCCCCCTAATGACTATGTTGTCTCTGTCTGTTAGACGTTTCAGCTGCAGCTCCTTTCACCAAGTAGTAATGTTGTTCCGGCATTAAACCAGGGAACCGTAACACAGGTCATCAGAGTCCTCAATCCACAGAAGGTCAGTGTAATGTGGTCTTTAGTTTTCAGGTTCATTACAAAATGTGCATTCCTATTTCTAAAGATTGTCATCACCACTTTTCAGCAACACCTACGAATGAGGATCAAGTTAACCTACACCCACAAAGGCTCACCTGTGCAAGACCTGGCAGAGGTGAACAACTTCCCACCTCAATCCTGGCAGTGATTTTTGCCTTCGGGCCCTTAAAAGCCCTGTTAAGGGAACTTTGAAAACTATTTTCTTTTCAATTCCCTCCTTCTTCCAACGGATCCCCCTGTGACACACGCACAGACTGCTGCCCTCAAGTTGCATGGGAATCAGCAGAGCATCTAAATCGGGAGAAAAATGTGGATTTCAAGAAGATCTTGTAGAGAACAATTCGGAAAACATATCAATCAATGTACTACTCTTGTGCAATTTTTCTCATGTATTTCACAATATATCTTCACTGATCACTCACTTTTCAAGAAAAGTATCCAATTGTATCAGCTCAGTCAATTGTATGCTTTATTAGATTAAATCATAAGTACAGTAATTTGGTTGATATGATTGTTTAACCAGAAGGCACATGTCTCCGGTGGCTAAAATCCCACCTGCTGTTAAAAACCTCTAGGTTTAAGCATCTTAGTAATCTGATTACCAATTTTATATCATAAATGAGTGAAAAATTAGTCATGCCGTATGTCATGTGATGTTAACAAATAGAAACTCCTGTCTTTCTTGCTTCTGAGATCGAATAAGTTTTTTCATTTACAGATCTGTGCTTCTCATTTCAATACTACATTGAGAAAACAAATTGCCCAACGTTTTTCACCATGCACATACACGATAGTTTTGAATGTAGTTACCATGCACTGAATGCTTTTCTTGTAGTAATCTTTTTCATCTCTCTCTCTCGCTCTCTCTCTCCCCCCCTCCCCCCTGGGCGCCCTTCACCCTCTTGGCACTATTTCTTTTCTATATATTTTTTTTGTCTAGAGATTTTATTTATACCTGATATCTAAGTGATGTGCCTTTGGGGTGGGAAACTCTTGAGTTATTTACAAGGTTTTGTTTGTACATCTTTTAAATGCTGTTTGGATCTGTGGTTGTTGCGTGGTTTCAAAGGTGATTATCCTTTTTCTTTTCTTTTTTTATTAAAGTAAATGCTGATTTGCCGAATTTTTGGGAGTCTTAAAATATCAGTAGGCCTTCATAATTTATAATCATATACAGAAAAATCAATTTGTCAAAAAGCTAAAACCTGTATCTATTCCTGGCAGCTAAAGATATAATTGGCGATGACACTATGGGCGGCACGGTGGCTGAGTGGATAGCACTCTCGCCTCTCAGCAAGAAGGTCCTGGGTTCGAATCCCGGTCGGACCAGGGCCTTTCTGAGTGGAGTTTGCATGTTCTCCCCGTGTCTGCGTAGGTTTCCTCCGGGTACTCCGGTTTCCCCTACCACTAAAAATATGTCCAATAGTTCTGGCATGCACCTCCTGTACTGGCCCCGCTCCCATCTCTGTGTGGAGTGAGAGACAAATGCCCAAAAATTAAGAATTGTAAACCGCTTTGAGACTCAGATCTGCAGTGAAAAGGTGGTATATAAATAAAGATTACTTACTTACTTACTTACTATGGAATTACCGGCTGTGGTGATTGCACATTACAAAGACTTCATGTCTGGGATGGTGATCCCAATACCTCCATGTTCTTGTTTTGGCATTGGAATGAGCTTGGAAAATGAATTGGGTGCATTTGCATGAGTGATCTTGTTTCATCACTGAACACGCTTTGCTTTGATGGTGACTGGGGTTAATTGTGGGGTGCTTTTCACGATGCGTCTCTGTCTGACTTATGACCAAATCAGTAGGATTTTTAGCTTTGAATATATTTTGAGCTCTGTATGTATATGGATTCACATTTTGTTGCAGTAATATACATTGGCTTATTCTGTACATACAGTGGGCTTTTACAATAATATCTTGTACTAAATTCCATCTCCTGTCCGATCTTTCGTTCTTTTTTAGGTTTATTTCATTTTTTAAATCCAATTCGTCATCCTGTGTATTAATACATTTAATCAGCATTGGTTTCCAACGACCAATGTGTATCATCACTCATTTAATGTAAAATATATGATCTGCCTGTATATTGTACATAGTTACAAAAGCTGATCAAATGAATAAAACACAAAGGTTTAGACAGGAAACTGTAGTGTATGCATATATGTACAAAAATGTATGAACGATGCAATTGTGCTGCATTAGATCGACTTGGTCACACCTCATGACTGTGTGTTTTTCTTTTTAGACTTGATAGTATGCGTCAGCGTTGAGTGGGGTCTTGGATGTTGGGTCAAACAACTGTGGAAGTGGAATATATGTACTACTGAAACATGCACAGTGATGCAAAGATACTAATTTATGAACACATTTCTCTGTTTTATTCATTTACCCATGCTTGGCCTTGTGCCAAGTGTCTTTTATATTTATAAAATTTCTGTATGGGATATTGATGAATTGCAACTGAGGCCTTCACAGCATGCGATTGTAATCTTTCTTTGTTAAAACACTTCGCATGTCACATTTCAGTTGATAAATTGCTTTTTAGATCTGTATTAAATCTCTCGTAAGAATTTTGTTTTTAAATTGACAATGATGCTACCCTGCAGAATATCTGTTGTGTGCAAACGGTTTTATTCAGTTTGTGGAGTGGTTTATTGTGTTAATTGTTGCAATGCTGCTTGACCTCCATCAATCCCAGTGCTACATCACAACCACAAGGAGGAGCTGTCTCCTGACAGGACATAAACATTGCCTACTGAATCTGAATGTTTGTGTTTTCTCGTATTCATCTAGTTTGTTTTTCGTTAACTCAGTGAATCACGATCGATTGAAGTGGTGTGTCACAAGTGCTTTGGACACCGTCATTGTGCGTGTGCGTGCGCCAAAGACACTGGGGACATGTGGATGTTGTAGGACATGTCTTATAAATATTGACATGGCTGCAATTTCAACTCACAGCTTCTGGGCTGCATGTGAAATCCTGTGTAAATACTCATTTCTACTTTTTGAAATGCAAGAAAAGTTGCAAATCTACCCTATCAGTGCGACAGTGACCTTTGGTCAGGTTTGTCCACCAGCCAATAAATACAATTTTGATGTTTTTACATCGGCTGTATCCTAAATTAAGATGCAAATAAAGGGCTTGAAAAAGCATTCAAATATTTGTTCAAGTTAAACATGATTCTAAAAAACGAAGTCCCCAGAATGGTTTATTATCTGTGGAGGGTCAGGCCTTGACCTTTCCGTCAGGGTTTTGCAGACTATGATTAATGAACTAAATCTCAGTTCCATTACTTTCAAGGTGAGTGTGAATGTCAGACTGAATAGTGATCAAATTAATGATGTAAAACAGTAGACTTGGATATTTTCCATGTATGCTGTGTTTTGTCTTTTTGGTTGAAAAAAAAAAAAAAACAAGACGAAAAAACTAAATAAAAAGCCATGAAATTTATTTTTGTTATTTGTGTTGTCATCTATAATTTGCGGATAGTATAGTAGTCCTTGTACGGTGAAAAATATACTTATAAATACATATTTTTCAGAATCTACAACGTTTTTCATTGTATACTATTTTTTCGGCTACAGCTTTCATGAAGTAATCAGAGTTGACGTCAATCGACCAAGCAATTGAACTTTTCTCTGATCTTGGCAACGTGGAACTCAGCGGGCGACATCAGTGGCTAATGGCCCAAATAATACAGAGGATGCTAGTGTGAAGATCATTCCAGTGAAACGGTGAACACTGCTGTGATGCGATGGCTCTCGTCTTCTTCCGTGGATCCGCAGGATAAAAACGCCTCCAGTGCCCGCCCTGCGGGCTGCTCTGTGGGCCCATGCTCCATGTGATGATGTAGATCCGGTGGTCCTGCGGTTCTGGTCCTGGTCCTGTGGCAGTCTGTGGACATGGCGGCGCTGTGCGGACGCCGTGACGGCTGCGTGGGCTTCGTGTCGATGCTCTCATGTTTGCGAGTGCCCTGGGTGTGACGACACTGTGAGAGGAACCACACACTGACATGGCCATGACGGACGTGGATAATTCAGCCGTGGCGTCTTCAAGCAGAGTGGGCACGAACAGCGAAGGTGATGTCGGTGATACGGGCGCCTGCTCCGGGGGACTGGCAGAAAGCACCGCTCCATGCACCGCTCCATGCACCGCTCCATGCACCGCTCCATGCACCGCTCCATGCACCGCTCCATGCACCGCTCCATGCACCGCTCCCACGGTGGGTCGTGGCGGTACCAGGGGACCGGGAGCTCACAATGCAACGGGAATACGAGTGCTAAAGGCAAGTCATATAGTTTATGGTGCAAGGGCAAAGAGGGCAAAGTGATCAAAGTGATCAAAGTGATGGAATACACGTGACTTGCATTCCTTGACCTCTCTGATTTATTATGGCTTATGGGGAGGGTGGTAATAGTGTTTCGTTATTATTATGTAATTGTTACAGGTGCTGAGATTCACGTGATGATCGTTTACCTTCAACCACCGGATTGAGAATTCCAATTCTCTTTATTATAGTAAAACATAATGGTCTGATCTGCTCACACCCCTCACAAGACTCTGAAAACACGCACACAAGTGGTTATAGAATACTGAATATCTTCAAACGGGTTCGCCTTCTGTAATTTAAATACTGCGAATGCTTTCACCTTAGTTTGGGTTAAATGATTGTGCAGAGAACTCATATTATTCCATGAGTAATGTAATTCTCCCTCCAATTCTGTTTCTTTTAGTGTGAATGTGAGCCATGACTCTGCAATTACCCTTGGGATCAATATAGTCTCTCTCTCTCTCTCTCTCTCTCTCTCTCTCTCTCTCTCTCTCTCTCTCTCTCTCTCTCTCTCTCTCTCTCTCTCTCTCTCTCTCTCTCTCTCTCTCTCTCTCTCTCTCTCTCTCTCTCTCTCTCTCTCTCTCTCTCTCTCTCTCTCTCTCTCTCTCTCTCTCTCTCTCTCTCTCTCTCTCTCTCTCTCTCCTGTACTCTGTACTCAAAATTCCTTCCTTTAAAAAGAAAACAAAAAACATATTTCCAACACAAGAATTTAGTAAGTCACACTATCTGTTGTGTTGTATCTATGGTCAACATACAAAGTCAAGTGGGCTAGAAGCCACATGTGAATAATTGGTCATCCATGCTGTTATCTTATTATAAGCAGTACTAGTAGAGATTTGTCAAATTAGTATTATTTCTGGTCTTGCAGCGTAACATGAAAAGAAATGGGAGTCGTGGCTGTGTAAGCAGAAAGAATCGGTTTGGCTCTCGTGAGCGGGACTGGCTTCGTGGTGACCCACAGCGGGGGTGTGTGTGTTTGTATGGAGGCACAGTGGACATCCAGCCGTCTGCCTTTGGAGTTTCTGCAGTCTCTGGCGTCTCGGGAACCCAGAGCTCGTCTACGGCTCAGCGCGGCCCTCAACTCGTGCTGTGCACCACCAGCACTACTGCCCAGCAGCTGTGCGTTCAGCGGGACGGAAATGCTCTCTATGTCCAGCTTCATGGGGATTTAGTCAGGTACAGTCTGTATCCTTAAATAACACATCATATCCACTCACTGCTATGTGAAACAAAGTCATCTTTTCATTACGTTCTGGTCTGTATTATATATACACTAAGAAGTTACAAGATACATACAATAATCATACATACACCCAAGAAGACATAATGCAGAGAGAGAGGAAGGCTCTGGGCCTGAGCACGAGGCCTTCTCCTACATGGTGTTGATGGAAAGCTTCCTCAACCAAGAGAGCTTAGTTAGCGAACCCCCTATAATGTATACCAGCCATGATGTCACTCTCAAGTCCCATTTGATTGGTCAGGGGCGTCAGCAAGGAGACTGACGTGGCATGGCGGCTGTTAGCACACCCCCTTACAACTTTGATGGTTATTTTTCTCTCCCAATGCAGGGTTTTACGGAAAACAAGCCAATTTCTTCCCTAGGTTTAATGGAGTGTACGCATAAACTTTTAAAGCAAATACAGGTGCTTTTATTAATTGTATTTAATTTCTGTGCCCAGGAGGCTTGACCCCTCTGAGAGGCCTCTACAGATGGTTTATGAATACTTGACAGCTTTGGGATACTCAGACCCAGTGCGGAGGCAACAGGAAGCAGCCAGCGCAGACCTCAGCTGTTTGATCCGCTTTTACAGTGGTGAGTGCTGCCGTTATCTGAGACATGTTTGATATAATTTGGTCTTTTACAGTTATTTATATCTGCATTATCTGCTTGTTAGAACTGGTGTAGATAACCTTTTAATGATTTTATGAAAAGTAAGATTATGTGAACCAATCAGACCAAAACCTTTTATCCTTGCGAAATTGGTGTTTTTCAAGTCCAATACTGAGCCTGATTCTTTGGCTCTTGATGTTTTCAGTTTTTTCCCCCCGATACTGAACACACATAGTATATGTCTATTTGTGTACATGTCTGTACATTCTCTGTTTTGTGTATCAACCTTGTATCACTAGACAAATGAACAAGAGCTAAATTATTGACATGCTCTTTTTGGAAAATCTTTGTATTCAAACCATTGTTCAAACAGAAATGTTTATTTTCTAGAGCGCCCAGTGAATGCAGACCAACAAGAGCGCACCTTGCTCCAAGGTGTGTTCAGCGTAAGGAAAGGGAAGACGCAGTTGCACAAATGGGCCGAGAGGCAGGTGGTCCTGTGTGGCACGAGTCTCATCGTGGCTTCAGTGAAGGACAGTCTGACAGGAAAGATGCACATCATGCCTCTGGTTGGAGGAAAGGTGAGAAGATTTTAATTCAGAGCAGTTTTGAGGCAGGAAAAAAAATGAGTTCATAGACGTCCACGCCTATGAGTCCCATGAATGCGATGTTTCTACTCTGCTTGAACATTTCATCAATATGTCTACTCAGAGAAGGTCCACTTTTGAAAAAATATGAAAGTTCTTATTTGATTGAAAACTGTTCCTCTTCTGTTTGTGTCAGTGTTGCACGATTTACTTTAAAATGTTCCATAGTTACAGTTTAAAAAAATGTTTTTTTTTTATTTTATTTACACCATGTGTGTGTCTGATAGTGCGCACGTGCCATACAGCAAAATCCTGTTTGTTATGCCAGCTTTGATATAAACTATTTCCAATTTGATAAGTGGGTGATGGTGGCTCTGTTGGTTGAGCATTGGCCTTTGGGCCTGTAGGTTGTGGGTTTGAGTCCATGACGAGACCTACTTCTCGACTCCCACTGATGACTGCTGTTGTTGTGTGCTTGGGCAAGATACATAACCCACTTTGCATGAAGCCCCCACTGAAAGATCAACGCTACTGTGGACTCACCACCTGCAGGAGGATCAGTGAGGGGCTGGTGCTCTGTGTACTGGGTGCAGCTCTGACTGCCATCCCCCGACCCAGAAATGGATTAAGTGGAAGATAAGTGGCTTACTTGATTGATGATATTGTTTCATTTTCGTTTTTTTAACGATTAAGATGAAAAAAAAATGGTACTTTCTGAAACACAGGAAACTCAATATAAACAAACTGGATAAACTGGCAATTAGCATTAATATATATAAAATACCTAAATACAAAGACATGCAGATGGAATAACTTATGGGGCACATGCTTGGATCAGGTATGAGCGGAACAGTGTGGTTTGCATGGGATATTTATTGTGTCTGACCATCCAGAAGACACTGGTTTGTGTGGGTCAAGCCGGGGGACAGAGGGAACACTGTCTCTTCCTGACAAGCAGTGCTGAGGGACGTCTTTGTTTGTAGGTGGAGGAGGTAAAGAGAAGGCAGCTCTGCCTGATGTTCAGCTCTGCAGGATCACAGGCACAGACCTACTTTGTTAATTTTGACACGTTGGTAGACTACCAGCGCTGGTATCGACAAGCCATGAAGGTGAGTCACTTTATCCATTTCCAAACATGCACTTCTGTCCAGAGTTTACCTTTTATAACTTCTTTATCATTCAGTTAAAAGATCTAATTGCTGGAAGGCTACATACTGTAACACATTTTCATTTGAATTTCACAATTTAAATGAAAATGTTAGTCCTGTACAAACAACTTACTCTTGGCTCACTTAACTCAGACATTGCCACAATTTGCAGTACGCAGGTGCAGTATGTTGACCACAGTCTTTCCATACAATGTAAAATCCTGATTTTGTGGAAAACAGAATACTTGGAAATATACAATAAGCTTCTAGGTTACAAGAATAATGTCAGCTGGAGCCCTATTGTTCTCGCCACACTGGCTGACTTTTTCTTGTCTGTTCTGGATGTCAAGGTAGTCTCCCAGACAGTCAGTCTGGTGGACCTGTCCTGCTACAGCCTCGAGACAGTGCCTGAATACCTCTTTTATTGCCAGGATATCACTCACCTAAACCTCCGACATAATTTCATGGCCCTCGAAGGTTCTGGCAGTCTAATCAATCTTCCGAGGTACTGTTACCCCAACCTAGCTCACCTCTATTTATGCTAGAAGTGTTCGTCTTTTTTTTAAAGAATGTATGTTATTTATTCATCTGATTAATTAAAGTAGATTCAAGCATTTTTATTTTGTCATTGTACAGATATTTACTCCTGTGCAATATATATTTTTCTATCCGTAGATTTTCTCAACTGAAAAGCTTGAACTTGTCCCACAACCGTCTGGGGGTGTTTCCTGAATGTGTGTGTGATGTCGTCACTCTGAACGAGCTCAACCTATCATGCAACAATCTTTATAACATTCCGTCACAGATTGGCAAGCTTCTTAGGTATGGTTCTCAGACTTTCTTTTTGCCATGTCTTTTTCCCTCTCAGAACACATACCTGGTACTCAAATAAATCAATGTACTCAAATAAGTAAATAGACTATTATGCATATGTTATTATTATTATTATTGTATCCTAATCAAGTTTGGGGGAAAAACCTATAATTTGTGATTTTCCTTATTGGACAGCCTGCAGACTCTGTTTTTGGATGGGAATCATCTGGACCTTCTGCCTGAAGAGCTGGGGGGCCTTTCCCAGCTCAATAGCCTGGGACTCTCCTTTAACAACTTTTCACAGATCCCAGCCGTGTTGGAAAGACTGAGTGGTGTAGACAAACTGGCCATGGCAGGCAACAGAGTGGAGAGTCTGGAGCTGTTTACGTTGGTCAAAATAAACCATCTGAAAAATATTGATCTTCGGTAAGAAATAATCTGTTTCTTTTGCATTAATCAAACACAGATAAATCAATAAAAGGGTTGTCAAAAATAATGCCACACTGATTCTAAAACTAGTATTAAAGCTAGAAACTCAATTGTACCAATACTAAAAGTATATAATTAAAACGACAAGTATTAAACTTGAGATATCACTTGTTTTAAAAATTGGCAGCTAATAAATAATTGTATTTGGTGGCTGCACTGCACCTGACAGGTTGCCCTAAAGGGGAAGGGGTGTCTAATTCCTCAATCGTGATCAATTGGTCATTCACAAAGGCAGAGTGGGTAGATCACTATATTCATGCCACTATTTCACTCATGTTTTAATGGCTTGAGCTTTTATCTACGGCTGCTTTGGAGTCACATGCATACAGAGACGCACACTGGGAGACTCAACATTTCACCAAACTACCACATATTTCATGATCTTTGCACAGATATTGTGTGTGCACCAATTAAAGATAAATATAGGTAGGCTTACATGTTTAAACAAATTATTTCAACCTTCATTAGTTCTAATTTGTTGCCAACAAAATGCGAACAAAGACAAACATGCCTTAATCTTGGCATGGCGATTGATGAATGCAATACATCTGTATTGTGAATCAAGCTGATCTCGGCTCACTGGTTTCGTGATTGGAATAAGCATGGGCACACCTGCCCTAGTGGCATCAGAGGGATCGTGTAAATGCACTAGACAATGTGGAGTTAACTTCAAATGAATCACTAAACTTAAACATACAGTATGTGCTGTTCATCTCCTTTTCCTTGACTCTTTCTGTGTATGCAGTTTGAATGGATTACGGTGTGTGAAAAGTGACATGCTGGAGGCAGTGAGTCAGGTCACTCAACTGGACTTGCGGGACAATCATTTGGCTTCCTTGGACCTCAGTTCTGTTTCAAACTTGGAGATTTTGCACTGCCAGCGCAATCAGCTGGGGATGCTCACTCTCAGTGGATTCACTCTCCGTATGCTCAACGGCAGCAACAACCGTGAGTCTGTTAGCTGTGATGTTGTTCTTCTTAAGACTGCTTCTGCGTTGGGTAGCTCATAAGTGGGTCAGCTAATCAGATAACCTTGTCCTATGCACAACCTATGCACAACGTCCATAAGTCACTGCATGTCAATGCCGCACACTACTACAACAAAAAGCATAGGATGTGATTGGTGGATACACACACCTACCATATCAGCAAACAATTAAAACAGCTTGGACAAAAGTTCAACACTGAAATGTCTCTGCACGAGACAGTGTGACTGTTTCATGTCTGTGTAAACATATACTAAAATTGTATTCATTGAATTCCCACGATGCAAAAGCATGTGCCTCAAATGAAGTGATCTGCGCTGTGCTCTTGTAGGATGCTGAAGCATACACCAGCCTTTACTTACTGTTATTAAGAGTGCATAAACAAATATCTTGTTAATTTGTGTTTGTGTTGGCAGGCCTTACAACAGTAAGCATTTATCCTGTCCCAAACCTTCTGACACATTTGGACATATCACAGTGAGTTCCAGGCTGAAAACCAAAATCTTTGTATTTTGTCAGTACAGACAGGTCCATAAATGTTGGGACATCAACAGAATTCATAAATCTCCGACTCTGTACACCACAGCAATGGATTTTAAATCCTAAATTAACTTTGAAAACTTGTAAAAGTATTGATTATAATGTAAAGACTTTTTAGATCTCCTATGGCCCCTCATCAGTAGTTTACATCTAGTGCTGAACTATCTGCATTTACTCTGGAGAAGTCATCTCAGAAAATCTCAGTCATCTAAAAAATCTGTCCAATTGTTTAAATTTCACATGTAACATGTGACCAATCTCAGAGATCATCCAGGGACACACTATTCTTCTATTCTACAAACCAAGGGCTTTTTACCAAATAGCAATCCTAAGCTAACTAACCTCATTTTGGGGTCGGTTGTTTCCTCTGCTGCTAAACTCTGCTTGCTCCCCAATGTTGCTCCGCTCCACCTGTGTTAGCTTGACAGTGATAAATCAGTATCAAAACCAAAGCAATTATAGGAGCCAAATATGTGTTTTTCTTTGCGTAATTGGTCTTTGTGTCCATGAGGGGGCGCATTCATCTTTTATATGAATCATGAGCTCAGGGTTGAGTGCAGGTGTGACCCAGAAGGGCAAATTGGTTTTTGACCGCACAAGCGGAGTTTGTTTTTCACTGTTTCTCGTGTGATACCACTGTGGATCCTTTTAATAGCACTGTTAAATAAATGAAGATTATTGCATCGTACCTTTTGAAGACTTGGAGGATTTTATTGAGCACAACAGAGCAACCACAGCATAGCCGCTTAGCGCGTCATCAACAAGCCTGGGTCTACAGCCTCACACTAGCAGCATTGGGCTGGCTATTATACTGTCAAAAACCAGCCGATTTGACTGCGCAAATGAAGTAAAGTAAACTTTGGAAGAAGAGACTTTGGAAACGTGGAGCCCGTACACGAGCCACGGGGTGGAGCGGTGGTTGCGGTTATATGCGGCTACGTGGAGCAGACCGAGCTACAGGACCGAGCTGCAGGACCGAGCTGCAGGACCGAGCTACAGGACCGAGCTACAGGACCGAGCTACAGGACCGAGCTGCAGGACCGAGCTACAGGACCGAGCTACAGGACCGAGCCAAGGACCGAGCTGCAGGACCGAGCTGCAGGACCGAGCTACAGGACCGAGCTACAGGACCGAGCTGCAGGACCGCGCACCGCAGATCATCGCTGGACAACATTGGATCACACAAAGGCGCCCAACGATCGAGGTATGTGTAGCGCTACACCCAAGGCCTTTTCTGTGTGCACACATTAAATCCAATGCATTGGTAACGCCGTGGAATATATCTGAACTCGTTCACGCGTTCGGGAGCCGTCACGTGACTATTTGACCTACTTTCGTGTTGTGTCCTCGGGTGAACTCTATCGCGAACCTGAGCTGTCGCGAGACTTTATTGCGTCTACACGAAGATAACTTTCACTGGATCTTACAATGTTGGAAATGGACAAAAATGTTGAACAGGGTGATAATGAAGTGGAAAGTCACAAGCGCAGCATTAAGTTAACTGAAAAGGCATTAGCTGAGAAAATGGATAAGTTACAGAATACAAGAAAGTCTAAACTAAATAAAGCAGGTAACATTCGAAATGAGCTAAAAGAGTTTATGTCTGAGTGTGATAAAACAAAGGTTTTAAATGCTGTTGATGAATTAAGAATTGTGTGTGATGATGCACAGAGGTTTCATGAGACATTGTTGGGTTTAATGTCAACTGAAGAGGGTGACAAACATGAAGTATGGTTCAGAGCTAAAATGCTCCCAAATAATGAATGTTTTTCCACTGTAAAACAATGGCTCTCTCAAAATGAAACTAACAAAGATAATGAAAATGTGGAAATTACTCCAGCAGACAGTGTGTCAAATGCAGGAAGTTACCAAAGTAACAAAAGCAACAAATCAAATTCATCTGCTAAATTAAAGGCAGCAGCAGAAAGGGCTGCAATCCTGGCACGTGTGAAAATATTAAAGGAGAAACACGCTATCGAGGAAGAGGAGGCTAAGCTTCGTAGAAGGAAGGAAATGTTGGACTTGGAAGCTGAATTGGTGACCTCCGAAGCAAAATTGGAAATGTACAATACTGAGGAGGAGCGCCATTCCCAAGTAAATTCAAATGCAAAGGCCACAAGCATTAAAGGAGCAACATGGAACACTCTAAACCCTTCTGCCAATTCATTCATTCCTCAGGGCAAAGCTACAGAAACAAATGAAATAAATCAAAATGTCCGCCACACAGCAGTAAAGGGTAAAATAATGGATTCAAGACCAAAGGAAAAACCTGCCATCATCCAACAGCACCACCAAGTGAAACTCAATCAACCCACAATGGAAACTCAAATGGATATCAAACAAAATGAATCTTTATCACACAGCAGTTTACAGTGGCCTGCAGAGCTTCTCAACATTATGAGCAAACAAACTGAAATCACTGCAGCTCTAATGAATCAGCAGCGATCCATGACACTTCCCCCAAGAGACATTCCTATCTTTGATGGTGACCCACTACATTACAAACCATTTATAAGAGCATTTGAACAAGGTGTGGAAAGCAAAGCCTCTGTGGCCGACAGCTTGTACTATTTGGAACAATTCACCCGGGGACAACCCCGTGAACTGGTGTGCAGTTGCCAGCATATGCCACCAGACCGTGGATATGTTGTGGCCAAAGCTCTATTACAAGACCACTTTGGAAATCCATACAAAACCGCTACTGCATATATTCAAAAGGCTATGTCATGGCAAAATATAAGAACTGATGACACAAAGGCACTCCAGAGCTATGCCCTCTTTCTTCGAGGCTGCTGTAACATCATGGAGGAGCTTGAGTACATGCAGGAGCTGGATATGCCAGTAAACATGAGGGCTATCCTGGTGAAACTGCCCTACAAACTGAGAGAGAGGTGGCGAACCAGAGCACATGACATTATGGAGTCTACTGGATACAGAGCTGGATTCCATGACTTGGTGGAATTTATTGAGCGTCAAGTAAAGATTCTTTCTGATCCTTTCTTTGGTGATCTGCAGGACTATAATTTAAGTGTATCAAATCAAAGAACCTTCAAATCGCAACCAGGAAGCGGAATGAAAGGAAATGTGGTGGCCAGCACTGTAACCGAGAATACACATGGAGACGATGGAGAAAGTAGCCAGACACTATCAACCACAGACCAGAACAACCAGAAAAACTGTTTATGCTGCTCTATGGAACATTCACTGGAACACTGCAAGCAGTTCAATGGGAAACGACACGTAGACAAAGTGCTTTTGCTGAAAAGAAAGGGAGTGTGTTTTGGCTGCCTTCGACAAGGCCACATCAGCCGTGAGTGTCAAGCGAGGCTTACATGTGAAATCTGTAACCAAAGTCATCCTACAGTGCTGCACATAAACCGTCAAACACGTGCCCTGGAAGGTGAAATGGAAACGACGCAAGTACCAACTCCTCACACTACATGTGGACATACAGGGGCCGGAAAGGACCGCACTATGCTACCGGTGCTGCCAGTTCAAGTCAAGGTTGTGAAAGGGAACTGCATAATTCAAACATATGCATTCCTGGATCCAGGTAGTACGGGGACATTTTGTTCGGAAAGGTTGATGCATCGGCTTAATGTAGCTGGAAAACGAACGCACATTCGTCTGCGGACAATGGGTCAGACAAGAAAATGTTCAGCTTTCTCATTGTTCAATCTCGAGGTTGCTGGACTACGTGGCACCCAGTTCTACCCACTTCCAGAAGTCATCACACAGCAACAAATGCCTGTCACCACGCAAGACATGGTTAAATCCGATGATCTGCAAAAATGGCCATATTTGTCACAGGTTCATATGCCATTCATAAATTCAGAGGTTGACTTGTTGATCGGAGCCAATGCACACAAGCTACTGGAACCATGGGAGGTAGTTAACAGTCAAGGAAACGGACCATTTGCAGTTAGGACTGTGCTCGGCTGGGTTGTAAATGGCCCATTGGATAGAAACGCAGATCCTAGTATTCAAAGTGTGACTGTGAATAGGATTTCAGTCTGCAAATTGGAGAAACTGCAAGTAAAACAGTACAACTATGATTTTAGTGAGAATGAAGCTGAAAAGCAAGACACATCAATAGACGATATTAAGCTTATACAAATGATGGACTTGTCTGCAAAATTACAAGATGGAAAATACTGTGTGAAATTACCTTTCAAAAATAACAATGTCCACTTACCAAACAATCTTGCTGTGGCCAAACAAAGGATACAAAGGTCGAAGAAAATCATGCGTAACCTGGAATTCCACCAGAGAGTAAAATGTAAGCACAAGCAAGCAAGTGGATTGAACGCAAGTCCTGTGGCATATAACACCAAAGGCCGCCCAAACACAGTGGTTGAGCCCACAAGAGTGTGTCTAACATTGGACGAGGTGGATAATGCAGAATTCTCCATTATACGTTATTGTCAGCGACAGAGGTTCAAAGATGAATTGGAGGCCCCACAAAACAACAGAAGAGTAAGTTGCCAGAGTTTCATATCTTCTCTGGATCCTGCTCTACAGGATGGATTGTTGAGAGTGGGTGGCAGGCTAAACAAAGGTGCCATGCCAGAGGAAACAAAACATCCGTTAATCCTGGCCAAGGAACCTCATGTAATCAGGCTCATCCTGAAGAGTGCCCATCAAGATCGTGGACATGCAGGACGGATGCATACTCGGTCATCAGTGAGAAGGAAGTACCAGGTTATCAAAGGCAACTCTGCTGTGCGGAAGATTATTGGTAAGTGCAGCATCTGCAGGCAATACACTGCACAACCCTTGGATCAAAAATTGGCAGACTTGCCTGCAGTCAGAATTCTGCCTGACCGTCCTCCAATTACGAAGCTGTCAGAAGATCCACACAATTTGGAACCTATTACACCCAACCGCTTGTTGTTGAGAGGCAAACCCTCCCTTCCTCTTAGAGTTTTCAAACCGGAGGACCAGTATGGACGGAGGAGATGGAAGCAGGTTCAATACCTAGTCGACCGGTTCTGGAAGAAATGGGGTTAGAGTATTTACCTTTGCTCCAGAAGCGACAGAAATGGAATGAAAAGATCTGGCTTTAGGGTATGTTGTGGACATTATGATCCATCGGCCCACGGGGACCTGGGCCTCTTAGAAGAGTTTTGGAGGTATTCCCAGACAGTCACGGTCTGGTTCGATCCGTGAAACTCAAAACAAAATCAAACTAACTTGAGAAGCCAATAGCCAAACTGTGTCTGGTACATGGCTTTTGAAGTCACAAAATAAAGCAGAATTATTTGTCTCCTTTTTGTTTTTGAAAATGAATTGCCATGACTGTTTACCATGCCAATTAGGGGCCGGTGTATAGGAGCCAAATATGTGTTTTTCTTTGCGTAATTGGTCTTTGTGTCCATGAGGGGGCGCATTCATCTTTTATATGAATCATGAGCTCAGGGTTGAGTGCAGGTGTGACCCAGAAGGGCAAATTGGTTTTTGACCGCACAAGCGGAGTTTGTTTTTCACTGTTTCTCGTGTGATACCACTGTGGATCCTTTTAATAGCACTGTTAAATAAATGAAGATTATTGCATCGTACCTTTTGAAGACTTGGAGGATTTTATTGAGCACAACAGAGCAACCACAGCATAGCCGCTTAGCGCGTCATCAACAAGCCTGGGTCTACAGCCTCACACTAGCAGCATTGGGCTGGCTATTATAGCAATAATCAAAAACTCATTCACCTGCACCTGAATCGTGCCTCCTTCCATATTGATACATTTATGGTTGTCAAATAACCAGTATTCCAAATGCTTGTAATTCCTATATCAGCCTGACTCTGCAGGTAAGATAAGATAGGATAAACTTTATTCATCTCACAATGGAAAAACATCCGTCACATTCGACATATATAAAATCACTCAGATCGTGCAAAAGACAGAAGTGTGCAACATGTTAAGGATACAAAATATGGTCCATATTTTTGTGTCATTACAAATCCATTGTGGTGGGGTCAAAAAGTTATGAAATGTGTCATGTCTCAATATTTACACACCTGGTAGTTTCTCCTTTGATTATATCATTTTGTTTTTCTGTTTCATGTGTTGAGATAGGAACCTTTTGGAGTACCTTCCTGATTGGGTGTGTGACTGCAGCAAAATTGAAACAGTGGATGTTGCATATAACCTCCTATCTGAGCTCCCATCAAGGTCTCTTACCTTTTTTATTTTTTTTACACACAACACTATGCACTTCATTGACAATGTTCTTCTTTTTACTATTTCCGTCCCCGTTTTGAAATGTTGAAGTCTACTTTAGGATGTATATTGTTAAGACATGACATAGACATCATAGACAAAATTGCGTGATATCAGCCCCGGGAGGGTAAAAGCTCAGAAATGAACACATTCTCTGTATTCTAGTTCTAAAAACCCTGCCTTGTCTTCAACAGATTGCTCAGCAGTTTAAGTTTGAGGAAATTGATGGTGGGAAATAATAATTTGCAGAAAGTGCCTGACCTCCTTGATCACATCCCTCTGGAGTCTCTGGACCTTCAGCACAATAAGCTCTGTTCACTTCCAGATAATCTCTTTTGCAAAGCCTTGAAGTAAGTCTGCCTCATTATTACCAGTCATTTCTTTCCATTATTTTTAGTAAATAACTGGCAAAGGGAAGGACTGAAATATAGTTTAACTTAATGTTAAAGCTCCTCTTACGGTTCAAAATCCGTAACAGGAGCTTTAGCTGCTTCCCATTTCCTGTTGAAAATCACTTAACACCCATTAGGATTCCAAGCGCTGTAATGTACAGCACTGTTTTTAATGTTTGAATGAATCCTCAGTCTTCCCTTTGAAAAATGTATTTGAGTTTTGGTCAGCATGCAATGTCAATGTACCCATTTTCCTTATGCTTTGATCAAATGTATTTCAATTATTACATATTAAACATTTCATGAAATGTCAAGTTAATTCAGTGCTACATTCTGTCTTTCTTCAAAGTCTTAAATATATGAATGCGTCAGCCAATGCCTTGGAGAGTATCCCCTCCTGCATTCAATCAGAAGAGAACCTCAGTACACTCCAGGAGCTGTACCTTACCGGAAATAATCTGAACGAGACCTGTGCTTCTGTGCTTGTGGGACACCAGAACCTGCGAGTGCTTCATGTTGCTTTCAATAATCTACTCTCCTACCCACCCAGGTCTTTTGTTGTCAAATTCAGGATTATTTAGTGCATGAATAAATTAACTTAAATGTTTCTGTCTATGTAGTAAACTAAGTAAACTGGAGTTTTTGGAAGAGCTGAACCTAAGTGGAAACAAATTAAAGTTGATTCCCTCAACAGTATCCAGTTGTAAGAAATTGCATACACTTATAGCGCACTCCAATCACATTACTGTATTCCCGGAGATCCTCAACCTTCCAGAGATCAAGGTCAGAACTTTTCATGAAAGTTCACAATTTAACTGATTTGAATATTTGACACCACATTGTTATATTTCTTTTGTGCTTTTGTAGCATGTCGACCTTAGCTGCAACGAGTTGACTGAAATCCAGCTACCAGAAAACCTGCCTTCCTCTCTGCAAGAGCTTGACCTTACAGGCAATAACTGCCTGACACTTGAGCACAAAGCCCTCAACCTCTTCAGGTCTGCCAAACAACACACTAGAAACAGAACTATAGCCCTTTACAAACAGTGCACGTGTGTTTGTGAGTGTGTGTGTTTGTGTGAGTGTGTGTGTTTGTGTGTGTGTGTGTTGTATGTACATGGCAATAAAGTTTGCGTAACTTTAGTATTTTGTATTTGAAAGCAGTAGTATCATGTCCAGAGCAGAGATGACACTCAAAGCAAACAGAACTATGATATTTTCACCACTTGTCTTTAACCTAATGTGCTGGTAAATATAAAAGAATATGGGACAGCACACAGAGCTGTTAAACATTGCACATTCCATTGGTGCCTTAGGCAGCTCTACCTGGAGCTCTAGATCATCGCTGGTTCGGAAAAAAGGGTGTGACTGTACACACTGCCAGCATTTCGAGTGGATGTGCATGTTTGTAAAAGGCTTATGGGTGCATGTGAAACCTGTATAGCAAATACTGTAGATCCTAAAAATCATGTTGTTTTCTTTAGCCACATCACAACGTTAAAAATAGATCTGAAGAGCACCACAGCAGGAGAATCACAGAGCGCCTCTACTCCATGGAATCATGGATTGTCAGAAACTCATGGTCAAAGAAACAAGTAGGCACCTCCCATAATATACCCATCGTAGTAATGTTGAACTTACTTCACTCTAGTTAGTGCTTGTGATTATGAACTTGAATACTCTTCTTGTAAGTAACTTATTTATATAGTTTATATAAATGTTTGTAAATAGTCCTTTCAAAGACAGAGTCAAAAGTTGTGTAAGTAGTAACTTCCTGCACTAAGACAAGTCGACTAAATCCAGAGGTCACTATCACATCTCAAAGTGTACTGTTCCTCATATATTATGAGTCAGACTAGGTAGCCTTTTGACAAGGAAATGTGCTGTTGTGACAAGAGACTGCAAATTATGTTTTTTAATGTACAGGTTGTGTGTTTCTGTGCTGGCGATTGATCAGCTTGGAGACAGTACAGAAGCCTGCTATGGTGTCTTTGATGGAGATCGCAATGAAGAGATACCGAGACTACTACAGTGCACAATGGGAGATGTGCTCTGTGAGGAAATTCAGAACTCTAGCATTGACTCAGTGTATATGTCCAACACATTTCTAACATCTCACAGGTAAAATAAACATGACAACCAATTGCATAAACCTCATACATTTCATACTTATTCAAACAAATGTGTTTATGAGACAGAAAACTTGGCATGGCTGGTCAGAAGCTTGGTGCCTCTGCCTTGATTTGTTACATTCACCATGAGCCTTCAGATCTCACAGGCTCCTTCAGTCTAACTGTGGCCAATGTTGGGACTTGCCAGGCTGTACTCTGCCGCGATGGTAAACCAATCCCATTATCAAAGGTGTACAGTTTAGAGAACAGCACCGAAGAAATGGAAAGAATAAAAAGAAGTAAAGCTATTATTACAGAGGTGGGACATTACATTTAATTACATTTTAAAATGTTTTGATATGATGCTACTTACATATTTGTCTTTGTCCAGGACAACAAAGTAAGTGGCGTAACATGCTGCTCTCGCCTGTTGGGTTGTTCGTATTTGTCTCCTTGGGTACTCCCTGAACCTTATGTGCACACGGTACCGCTCTGTTCCCAAGATGAGTTCTTGATCCTGGGCAATCGTGCTCTATTTGAAAGGGTCTCTTACCAGGAGGCTGTGTGCACTGTGCAGGCTGTGCGAGATCCACATGCTGCTGCAAAGAAGCTGTGTTCCCTTGCTCAGAGTTACGGCTGTAAAGACAACATTGATGCTTTGGTGGTGTCGCTCCTCACTGGTGTGGAAAGATGTACATGTGAAAACAATGTCAGTGAGCCACATCTGGGACTTCCTGTAAACTCTCCACCTCTAACTGTTCCTCCAATGCCCTCAGAGCCAGCTGCTTTGTCACCCTGCTGTGGTGGTGTGTGGAACAGTGAAACTTTAGAGAAGGGCAGTGAGGCTATGTCCATTCCATCTGATGAGCATACTCCACACTCAGAGAGGAGTTGCAGTATTCACCCTGCCACACTCGTGTGTGGGATCATGGTGCCAGGATCCTTAAATCAGCACCCTGGCATCTTCCAGAGGCAACCATCTTGTGCTACTTTCTCAAACAACCAATCAGACAACAACTTGGACAGTGATGACGAGGCTCAGGTTCATGGGGTCATCTCAAACGGCAGCAAGATGGAAGTGGAGGTAGACATTCACTGCTGTGCTTTTCAGTTACGGTCTAGGGCTCCAGACAGCACCAACAATGCACATTTTATAGAGGAGAGTGATACATTGTGTAATCCAAACAGTGTTGTAATATCAGCTAATGGCTGTCTATTAGCTGTTTGTGGGCAAGACAATGCAGACCTCAAAAAGTCTCCATCTACATCCTGCTTGTTTGGGAAAAAAATGTCCAATGGCTCTGTTGTTGCACCTGAGGATTGTCATAATGTCATTGAGGAAGCAGTGGAGGCTCCTAAGAAAAAGTCGGGCTACTTTACTGCCTCAGCACAGCAAGACCCAGAGGACCAGCTCATAATACCACCATGTCTGGAGCAAGAGGTGCGGGAGCAGCTTCGAGGACAAACATCTGTGGTGTCGTGCATTTCAACAGCATCTTTAACCTCTGCCCTCACCACTTCTGTGTGGCATCAGCCACACGCCTCAGTATTTACCCCTCCACTGATTTCTGCAGCAGGCCCTTCCCCTATGACCCAACAAGAAGTGTATGACACTGCCCTCTAGTGTACTAGACTGCATCTGGCCTAACTGTTTTATTCAAGCAGGTACTACTGCAATATGGCTTTGTACCCTGCTCAAACCATGAGGCTGCTTGATGTACACATTGATGCATACGATGAAGTAGTTGTAGGGACACAACTCTCTTTTCAGTTTGGGACATGATGATGTAAAATGTGTGTGATTGCCATACTTGAACAAGCCTTGAAATAAGATGTACATGTCTGATAAATGCAGTTATTCCCTTTACAGACAGATTGTCAGTGCTTCTGTAACGGACATTTCTTCCAGTGGACAACAGTCCCAGAGCGCTGTACTGTAACTCAAAACTTAGACTGAAAAGTGCCTATGGTTGAAAACTCATCCTTTTTTAGTGTTTATAATTTGTGTGTGTATTATAATGCAACTCACAAGGCAAAGATCTTTAAAAATGGTTGTATTTTAGCCACATTACAGCTGTCATAACAAATGTCAATTTTCTAAGTACAGGTATCAAGTATGTTTTCACGCCCACTTGAAAAATAGCAAAAAGCTGAGCTGAGAGCTGTGTGAGGGAGGGTGGGCCTCTTTTTCACTTTTAAACTAAAAATTCTGTTCTTAAGATAGTACAGAGGCCTCAGTATCACCTTTAGATCAATAGGTGAAAACGAGTGATAGAACCAAACTGAGCGTGAGGAACTTAGAACTTAGAAGAAGGATCCAAGTAGAACTTCAATAAGCAAATAAGAATAAATGGGCACCAGGCTTAATCAAAATGTTAGAACTGCTTGTCTTTATAAGGCCAGATCTGTAAGTGGATTTGTTGTCAGTTTGTTGAGATCCAACCATGCTATTTTTCAAGTGGGCAAGTGGAGACTGCCTCTTCTTTTTTCTTGTTTGACAAACTGCAATGCATATTTAAGTGGTATACTGAACATTGTTAGCTGAATAATTATGTAGAGTCTTTTTATGTAACATGTTTGTCCTTTTTCTGTTTACTAATCATTTAGAACTGCATCAGCAATTGTTTAAGATTTAGCCATACTACAGAAACGTCTTGTTTTAGAACTTGCTTTGATGCAGCATGGTGGTACTCAGAAGTCCTATCATTTAGGTGTATAATGTTTGAGAACCAGTTTTATTCACTTCTGATTAAGTTTTAAGACAAGTGATGCACAGAGATGCCTTTATTTATGTAACTTCATATTGTCTAGAACATCTGTGCGTTTAAATGAAAGCCCCACAAACCTTCCTTGCTCTAATTCACCTGCTATGCCTAGACTTATATCAAGCCAACAGCTATTTATGTATTACAAGTTAATTCAGATGTTATATTATTTTAGTATAAACAAAGCCTTTCCATCAGATGTATTATTTATCAAGCTTTAGCTATTCATTATAGCACAAAAAACTCACTGAATAAGAAAATGAATCACTTTTTTTTGAGAATATAAAGTATACCTGTTGAAGTTCCAAAAATGCAGTATAAACTGGAAGTTATACATATTCATAGAATAATTTATATTTATGTGCCATGTCAGATGTTTCATTTCAGATTTTGCAGGAAAACTGTCTTTTTACAGTGTATGTAAACTTCCGGTTTCTACTGAACGTATACTCAACTGTATGAAGGCACAATCAGAAATAATTGCCGTGTTAGATACTGTACGTGTTTGTATTCAATGAAACTGTGAATGATGGGAAAGTTGTGGTAAAGTGCAATACTCTAAAAGTCCCTTTAATTGTTGAGCAGAGCAGGCTTGTCACTGTTTTTTTATTGACTAATAATAAACCACCATCCTATTCTGCAGAGTTTGGGTCTAATGTGCCCAAAGTCACTGCTTCTAAAGCAGGGTTTCAACGTTTTCAGGCCAAGAAGCTCATAAGCTTCAAATCTTTTTGCGACCCCCATTTTGGATTTAAATTGAAGAGTGCAATAATTTGAAGCGCTCAAAAACATTTACATAAATAACTCGATAAAATAATGCGTTGTATTAAATAATGATAATACAATCTATTATAATATAATAGATAAATCCAGGACCATTTCAGAATAATATTTTGGGAACCAACTACTTACTTGCAATGTAATTTTGGAGGGCATTTTGGTGTGTTTGGGTTTGTAAAGGGTCCTGGGGTTTACAGTAACAGTATGTAACTTTCTGGTGCATGGTTATCAAAACATCTACAGGGTTCCATGTCAAAACCACACTAAGGGACATTCTACATAGAAGAATGCATAACGTTGGTGAAAAAGTCACGTTCTGTGGCTTTTAGGAGCACAGTAACTGTACTTGAAGATAAGTTGAAAAGTACATTTTAATGCTGCTAACGTTCAGTTCAAGATTAATGTGTTTCAATCCAAGCCAAGTAACAAATTAAAAACAACTTTTTTACTGGATTCTTTAGTGTCCGTTCCTTATTTTTAAAATATTAGAATTGTTGTAGGATTAAAGATACACCATCAACACCATCTTAAAAAAAATTAAAAGATCATGTATAAAAATAGTAGACATGTTGCTTTAGCTAAAGTCTACAATACAATAACACAAAAAGAAATAGGTGAATATAAAAAAGGTAAAAAAAAACAGTAGCTCAATGTTCATTATTGTACTTATCCGGTATTCAATAATTATCATCTTCATTTCTCTGTTGGCTCTTTAGTTTCTTTACAGTCCTAAAAGCTTTTGCGGCCAAAACAGCACCAAAGATGAAGATAAATACCCCTAGAATCCCAAAAAGTCCTCCTGCTATATCTGCCCCATGAAACTGGCACTCAAAACCTTTATGGCCTTTTTTCTTGTACATTTCCTCTCTCTCTTTGCAAATGGCATTGCTGTAGGTTTCTTGTAGTTTAATGAAATAGAAGGCAAGAGCTGGGATGTAGCCTAAGCCAATGAGGAAGTTTACTAAACCCTCACCAAGCAGCACTGGAGGCAAGCGGTACGGAACCCTAAAAACACCTAAACAAAACATTGCACAGGCATAGACCATGATGCAGCCAGCACAGGCCATAGTGAAGATGTACGGTGGCCTCTTCAGCTGATGAAACAGCCGATCCAGCTCTTTCACTCGATCGGCATCTGCACCGGTAAAGGCGTTGGCTCCACCGAAGTGATAGTAGTAGACCCCTCCCAGACTGGCCAGGTCACGGTAGCCTCCATTGTTGCTATACGGTACACCAGCACAGATAATTAGGAGGAGATTTACAAAGATCTCCATGAGCTGACAAAGCCCTGAAATATAAAGTTAGAAGAAAAAAATTGAAAATGAAATCACTTTCTGTTGAGCTTAATAGATCCACTTTCATAGATATAATGCATGAATGTGTGTAGCAGTCATTTTGTGTATGGAAGCAGTCACTTTCTATTGCCAGCTGTTGTGGGCGGCCCAAATTAAAATTCAGAAATCCAATCACAACATCCTGTCTTCATCTTATTAGATGACTTTTGAATACGTAAAAAAGATTCCTGTGTGCCACGGTTTGATCCTTTGGTCTGAGAACTAATTTAAAAAAGAGTAGCACCCTCATATAGGCTATCAGTCTGAAAAAGCTGAGGCCAAAAAATAAACGCATGTCAAAAAGTTAAAACAAAACTGTTTTGAGAGTGAGGAACTAGTTAGATGGGTTTTGTGTCGTGGTTACATTTATTGTAGTTTGAAAGTTTGGTAAATAATCAGTAAATTAATCTACTCAGTTTATAATCTTATTAGCTGCAGCATGAAAACTAGTGGTGAGGGAAAAAAACATTCTATTTAGATCTGCGATATTTTTTACAGTAGAGCAAGTAGTACAATATTTAATTAAATAATTATCTTGCACTCTCGTTTTTCTCAGCGTTTACTCTGGTATTTTACATTAGCGTATTACATCCAAGGTGGCGCTTCTTGTGATGCTTTAATTTTGTTCATTCCTTCAATAGCATGTTGAATCACAACTGGTTCTACACGACGCTCCATTCTCTTTAAAATACAAAGTATCAATTTCGGTTTTCATCAACAAGCAAGTGGTGAAGACCTTGACATTCAATATGCCATCTGCAATATATTTCGGAATCGAATCGCAATAAAATTGAATTGTGGCCCAATTCAATACCATCAAATCTTCACATTTTTGCCAAGTTCCACCCTAACACTACTTTAGCATAATCTTAAAAGTTAAATCTATGATGCTTGACTTGCCTCTCGATGTAGGGATGTATCTGAGGTTGTAGAGAGCAGTTCTATGTTGACTGAAGGACATTTCTCTGGAGCTAAAAATAACAGTCAGTGGTCAATACATTTATAGGCCTGCCTAACATCAAAGCACACAAATATGCATATAGTTTTAAACGTGGAATGGTTTGTCTTAGTTTCTTTACAGAGTTGTTGAAGGTGGCTGGTGGTTCTCTCTGTAGACAGGTGTCTCCTTATATCTGTCATGTCTGGGGCGGTTGTCAGCTGCAGAAGCACCCAGCTCCTCTTGACTCCTGTCTCTTGACCTCTCAGAATGATCTCTGTGGTAATTCTGACCATATGTATCGTCTTTGTGGTGCCTTCCTTCTTTTCGAGGCATTTTTCTGGAGTCAACAGACTAGAGAGATTACATAATAAAATAGCAAATAATCATAACATTCAAGAAATCAAAAAAAGAAAGAAATGCCAACCTACCTTTGTATTCATTGGATAAACAGCGTAGGAGAAAACAAATTCCTGTTTAAACCATAGACTGTATGTGATTTTGCTTCCTGCTTTGTGATCGGACACCTGCCAGTATGCCACGCCCTCAAATCAATCCAAATACAAATGCTGAAGAGATTACAGCCGTTTATGAAATCATCCTTTTTCAGATTAATTTTAAGAATAAGATTAAGAAATCCTTTATTGCTCGCACAGGTGGGAAAATTCTGTGTTGCATTACAAGTTACAGGATATGTGACAGACTCCCTTAATTCACCTGGTAAAAAAACGTCAATCTTATTTTCTGTCATGAATATCGTTTTTATACTTGATACTTCCCTCAATAATCCATATCCATCAATTCTAGCGTTAGTTTTCTATGTAAACGCGTCGCTGTTTAAATGTTGCACTCTCTGGTTGCTTACAGTCAATGGTTGCTATAATGACAGTGATTTTATTGTGAAGACTAATTTCCTCGCGTTCACTCTGTCGGAAGTGTAGCTATCTCCGAGCATGCTGCGCATGCGCTGGTTGCAGACGAGGGGAATGCTCGACAGAAATGGCGCTGGTGGGATTGCGAGCAGCGTGAAATGCTGATGCATTGCATGGCTTATCATCTGCCACCGCGAGGACTTCATGTGGAAAGAGCAATGGCTTCTATCTAGAGTGTTTGTATAACTCAGATCTACAGCTTCCTCCCGGGAGAGTTTTCGTCTTGTCAGCGGAGAAGAGAAAATCACACCGGGAGCATGGCTTCTTACAGCAACCAGGTAGCTAAGCTAACGGCTAATATTAGCCTGCAAAACAAGTCCATGTCGTGTACCGTCTAAGATAGGTTCTAGACTACACATCTACGGTGCGATATTATGCTATTTGACGATGCTGGAAAATAATGTTGATTCAACAACAACAATTGTGTATTTGGTAATATCGGTTAGTCGTGTCATTGAAATGATAAGAACAGAAAAGTGCTGGCTAATGCCCCCCCCCTAAGCCTCACTGCAATGAGCAGCATGGAGCTAACAGGCCCACGTCCCTTCATTCAAATGGGTAAGATGCTCTGTAAAGGGGTAGTTTACCCATTTGACAGCTATATATCGCCAAATTACTCCAAATGCCACTGCTCTTTTTGATGAACACATTTGTAATTGATGTGTTTCTCTTGGTGTTTACTTACTCTGAAAACTGCTGCGTGTGCATGGCCCACACAGGCCTTGGACCAGCGCATGTCTGAAATGTTATTTCCATAAGTTTTACGGATTTAGTTAGTAGGGGAAGTATTTCCTTAAACAATGTTCAACGTTTTAAATGTGGCTGTGTGTCTTCATAAATTATTAATCAATTGGATTGTCCACTGAGTCTTCTGGTCCCTGTACCTGGGTTATACTTTAGTCATCCTGCTAAGTTTGTAACCCATTCATCAAGGCGAGCCTGTTGACCCACAGTATAGGATAATATGATTCAAATCAACTTTACTACCAGTTCGTGAAAGTAGCATTCTAAGGAAGTTCTTGCATTTTATGATTTGGAGGCAGTTCATTTGCAGTCATCTCAGGTCTGCTGTCGTGTGTGAATCCTCATTTAGATGGACTACTACAAAATAACTGACGTTTTGATCATGTAGATAATTTGAGGGAGCCAGCTACAGAGGGGAGACCTCCATGACCCTCTGTCTTCTCACACTCCTGGGAGGAGTGCAGACTTTCTATTGGCTTTCCCCTCAAAGCTGGACATACCAACTGCTGCCCGTTTTATTGTACTGTAGTTTTTTTAATGGTAATGCAAAATTCAGTGTTCAAAATGAGAAAATATCCCTCACTTCAACATCAGATTGGCTTTGGGAACATTTACTTATTTAGAAATGTGTCTTGTTTTAACTTAATTGGACAAAATATTTCTACTTTGTCGAATGGAATTGACTGAATATATATATATGGAACTTCACATACATTTGTGAACATGAGATGTTTAATTCCAGTCATTCTCTATTATTGTGGCTCTACTCTCCACGGGCTCCAATATTCCCAAAGGAGATGGCTAGGCTAAATGCTAGCGACTCACTCGATGACATTGCATACATCACAGAAAAACTCAGATCCAATCGTTTCAATCTGCAAATGGAGTGAACCACCTCTTAATGGAGCTCAATGGAGCAAATCCCCATTCCAGACTTTAGTACGAAATGAAATTTGTACGATGGTGTGGTAAGACCAGGCTAGTTCCATTCGTACCTCCAGAGCAATTGCGGCCACTTTGTTGTGAATGATGGCAGTTCCACGCCACTTCGAGAGCCTCCTAAAGTTTTCACTGGGACTCTTGTCAGTCTGCGTCAGTAGGCCTGTCGCGATAGTCAATAAATCAATTAATCGCACGATAAATAAAATTTGCTCAATAACTTTTCTGGCCGCGATAAATCCCATTTGCATGCTTGTTTGTTTCCCCCGTCTCTCTCGGGTCAGAGAGCCGCAAAGTGGCCACGGGAACATTAGCGGTGCTAGCAAGCAGACGGAAATTACTCAAAAATACAAAATACAGCCAAAACAGGACCTAAACCAGGACTTAACCAGGATTGACAATGGGGGACACAGTAGTTGTGAACATATGCCGGCAGCTGAGTTCTCATTCAGGCTTGATTAGCGACTATACTAGCGCAGCTAGCGTTAGCGTGTTCGCCGATGCAGAAGTACCGTACCATACCAATAAAATAAACTTATGGCGCACCTCCGTGAACACATACTGCTGTTATATAAAGTCTCTAGAAGGTCTCTGAACACAGAGATGCTGCAGACTTGCATTCTTGGAGTAGAACTTTACACAAAAAACCCGCTAGCTTAGCTGTTAGCATCAAAGCCCGCCCCGCTACTTCCGGTGGGCGCTACCGCAGCAGGACTTCTGTACGCCCCATTGGTGAACCCACATGTCAGTCACTTGTCATTCGCCTGGTGGTGTGTGGGGAGGTGGGACTACTCCTGAGAGATCCTGTCTAGCCACACAAAGTCAACATGTTGGTATTTCTTTCTTGTAATCTGTCATAAAGTCTGAGAAATTATTGACATTTGAGGCATCTGTTTCATAGTTTCTTTACAAAGGTCCTGGCAGTTTTATTCCTGGTCATTTTTTGTTAAGAGACTGAGTTATTTATTGTTTTTGGTTGTTTGTTAATTTATTGTGTTCTAGCGTTAAATATTCGTTAAAAATAAAAGTTTATTCTCTTTGAAAAGGTGTACCTGCATTATCATTCTAATCGATGCAAATGATCTCAGAACGACAATATAATCGCTTATCGCAATAATTTCTGAGACAATTAATCGTCCAGCAAAATTTGTTATCGTGACAGGCCTATGCGTCAGTCAGATCAAGCCCCACAGTTCAGAACGCTCCAAACAGGAAAGAATAGAAAATGCTGTCGGCAAGGACTTTATATGGATCAGATCACTGATAATTGGTGATTTATTGCACTGTGGCTTTGATTAGGACTGGGCGATATGGCTGAAAACTATATCACAAGTAATTCATATAGGTCGACAAACCTAAATAAATGCATTTGTCGTGTGGGTTAACACATGTAAGCAGCCTTGTTTACAGTCATGGGGGAATGAGGCTGCAGACAAATGCTCACAAGCAGTCTCCCCCATAGTTAGTCCTGGTTTAGCTCCTGTTTTGGCTGTTTTCGAGTGTCTTGTGTCCCCATGATGGCTCCGTTAAAAGTTAATCTCTTGCTTTTGCCGAATGCATCTAGTCTCTGTACCCACTGCCTCTCCCGTGCTGCACATGCTGTTCCTCGCACAAAGGTGCATAACTATTGACATGGCACTGAAACACAATCTTTAGATCCATGGTTATTATAATAGATCCATGATCCATGGATGCTACGCATGGTGCGCTTGTTGTTTTTGCTTTTCCCAGAAAGTTTTGTGGTATGTGGTCGGCTGTGATAGGTCGAGAAGTCTCTGCCTACATCCCCCAGAATGCTGCGTGCTTCTGTCTCTGATTTACTTCCTGTGTTTTCTTTCCAAATTTTTCTAACAGAGTGAAGTTAAACTATCAAATATTCTATTGACCCCGTTTTCTATTGATATTGAACAAGTGTCTATTGCGATATATATCGTTATCGTTTTATCGCCCAGCCCTAGCTTTGATATTCAGGCTCGGTGTGAACTCTGCCTATATGGCTGCAGTCGCAAGCACAACCTAAGCCCGGTTATAGTGGGCCTGTCTTAGGATGAGCATCTAACTTGGAATTGACCAAAAAATTTGACTTTCATTTACACACGTCTTTCCCTGCAGTTGCATATTTTCTTAATCTCTTTAGCTTGTTACCTTTCACGTGAGCCCCAGGACCGTGGTCGAGTGGCGCAGGGGAGATTTGTCGCTTCAGGGTCAAAGGGATGTTTCTTTTGGGGGATAACCCTTGCTGTCACAGTGTGGTGCTATTCCTATAATGAAAATACCTAGACGTTGCCATTGTATTAGCTTAGTCTTACCACACCATTGTACAAATTTAATGTTGTAGGGTCTGGATTTCCTCAATTGAGGTGGAAGGGGTTAATTCCTCTTACAATTGGATCTGAGTTTTTCCGTGATGTATGTAATGTCCCTGAGTGAGTGAGGCATTTAGCGTAAGCCTAGCTTTAGCCATCTCCTTTGCCACTAACGTGGGGAGTAGAGCCACAACATATTTGCCAGCAATGACATTTTCTAAACATTCCTCTTTGTCTGGCTTCAATTTTGTGATATTTGCGAGCCGAACCAGAATGGATTACTTTACAATCGCCGCCATTGCCAAACAACCAGCAAATTCAACGCAAACTCTTGACCTCACCGACACCTACAACATCCGCCTCCCCCCCTCGCTGATTGGACGGATGGAATACAACCGTGGTAACCACAGCCACGAGGATCAGACCCAGACGTACATGTAGGGAAATTATAATTGACCAGAGTTTACGGAGTGCTACCATTGTGCAAGCTCCTGCAGCTTTTAAGGGTGCATTACTCAACTAACCTGATGGTGACCCTATGTTTTAGTGTAGTGGTCTGATACCTACTTCCTCGTATAAGCTACATTGCTTTGCTTGAAATGTCTATGTTTATGTATTCATCATAGTACTAAAACTGCCCTGAGTAACCTCTACACAGATGTTATTTAACCTTATGCAATTGCACGTTGGTTTTCAATGTATATGTTTTGGGTTAGTTCACCTTTTAGGACAGTTGGATGGGGGGAAAAAACTCTAATGGAGAGACATAGTTCTCTGTTGTGGGGTTTGTTTTTCCCCACAAGATCAATATTGAAGTCTTATTGCACCATGAGGTTTTAGTAATGTCATTGTTTGCCTTTTCTTCACCTGTATAGGATAATTATGCAAAACTGCCTCAAACAGTAAAGTATGTTTTAGTAAGAAGCACTCGCCAAATGCTGTGAAAAAGTTAGTTAGTTAGAACCCTGGAAAGTGCAGCCAAATACGGGTATTAACACATTATAAATATATAATAAAGGTATATTTTTGTAAAAATGTAGCAGATAGTACTTGCATAAAGCAAGTAAAATTTTCGGTCAATTCAAACTTAGATGCTCAGCCTGAGACAGGCCTCACAAACATGAAGGAAGCTTATTATGACATGTGTAGTAGCATGGATGCAGAGAAGGGCTAAAGGACATTCTTTCTGTTGTGATTGTCTTAGCAATCCTGTGAACATTGGATTAGAGCTGCCTGTTTGTCACTTTTAGTGCACACTCAGCACTGTGGGCCTTGTTTGCAAAGAGTTACATATGCTTGAGTTGCACTTTCCTTTTTCACTCATTTCACTGAGATTGAACTGTTTGCCTCCAGCCCAGTTTATGATTTTATTGCATAAATTTTTTATATAAGATATTTGTGTGTATCTTTCATTCTCCGCTTTGAAAAGTCCGACTTCTCGTATATGTGTTTAGCTAATTTCTCTACTTACACCAATCCACATACATAAACGTTTATGTGGAAACATCTTATTTGTCGGTTCATAAATTGGTGTGTTCCCATTACTTACAATGGCAATAAAAAGTATTTAACAATGGTCTAATTTTCTCAGTCGTTTAGAAGTATTGATAATATTCAAAAAACATAGGCTTAAGGCTTAGAAGCTTCTAGTAAGACAAAGTGTACTGCTTAATTACCCAAGGTAATTGGGTAAGGTTTAAGCAGTATCTTCTTCATGTCTTAAGGCATGGATAACTTATTACATTAATAAGAACATGCATTATTTTGGCCTGTAGAAAGTACTTTCAGACACAAGAATAATATCCAACTGAAATAAAACTCACAACATGAATGCAACTGATTGGTACTTTACTACTTACTACTACTTACTTGGTAGGAGTCTTCATTTTAACTGGTCAAAGATGTGCAAATTTAGCCTTAATCAGTTCTTCTCATGGCCTCATTTTGATTTATGCAGCAGAAATTAACTCATCTTAAATGCAACAAGTATTTCAATGAAATTGTCTTCTTCTTTTACAGTACATCTTTGGGGAGTTCAGCCCAGATGAAATAAAACAATTTTTTGTTTCTCCACGGTGCCATGTAGAGGTAAGAATTATATGAAGGGCCATTGTTCTCACAAAAAATACACACATGCATGTGTATGCTCACAGGCATTCAACTGTATGTACCTATACACACGAACAACATGCAACAGCTCCCAGTATTGTGTGTATGTTTGATACACCCTCTTCTATTCAATGTGATTGGGGCTTTTTTTACACACAAAAAAGCGAAAGCTCCGTGCGGGGAGGGCGAGCAGAAAAAAAGTTGCCATTTGCACACTTGTATGAAATGCCATGGATTGTGTGTTTCTACACCCCCCTGTACTTCTTTCTTATTATACTTTTTTGAGTTCTTATTGACAAGTTCTGTTTCCTCAGAGCAGGGGTCTCCAACCTTTTTTGTTTGGAGAGCTACTTTTGCATTACAGAAGTGGGAGAGATCTACTCTACAGTTTTATGACTACAAAGAAATCATTAATGACCCTACATTATATATTTTATAACATAATACAGACATGTATAGATATAATAAATATGAAATGACTCATAATGTACTCATTTTAGATCATGTGTCAAATTCATGAATCCTTTGTGGAGCTACTTGAAAAGTGGTGAGCTATCGGTAGCTCCAGAGCCACAGGTTTGAGACCCCTGCCTCAGAGCATAATATAAGCAGGAGCCATGTTGAATGCGATGACTCGCTTGGGGAGGGGTTAAAACAAAGAGCAAAGTGGCAAAGGTTAATTGTAAAGTTATAACTGGCTTGGTAGTTATCATTTCCTTCCGGCCCTTGACGTGACCTGGGATTAGACAGTCGTGAGACAGGTTAGTTTTACCCTACTGAGGATGTGTTGTTGCATTTTCATTTTGACAAATTGTAAAGTTTAAAAATATCTATCTTTTTTTAAATGTCAAGATATTGCACACCCCTAGTACATACAATGTATTATGGGATTACCATGCATCACTGATGTCACAGTGTGTCACATGTTGATTGTGGATCGTCAATGTTTTTCCAGCTATAAAGACTTTGATGTTTCAATTGTTGTCTCTACAGCTTCCTCCATTTAATGACAAGGTCTCCTGTGTTAGTCAGTCTTCAGGTATGTACTTTTTAGTAAATGCCTTTTGTCGAGTATAATATATTGTGTACTTAAATATAATTTTATGCTGTCATTTATTGTAATTGTTACCAGAGGAATTCTTGGCTCAAGCCAATTAAAAATCTTCCAAATTTATCAATGTATATTAATAGTATTAAGGCCACCTATGGTGCCACTTATACTTAACATGGTTTGTATTGATTATTTAGGAAGTTACTGCACTCCTGCTGTACCTTATATTATGGAGTCAATGGGACTGCAGGTTTGCGGTGAGTTAAGGAGTTCAACATGCTGTAGCTTCACTACCTGTTTGCTCTAAAACTAAATTTTCGGATTTTCCAAGACTGATTGCATTCTAAACCTTGCTATATCTTCTTGCTTTTTGTTAAAGTCTGTAGAGCTTTGCATGCAATTTTAGGTATTGATCTTTTGCATTCTATATAGGCAAATTCAGATAAATATTTTTGTGATTTGTTACATGAATGATGATGATTAACCAGATAGTGTTTTTGTTTTGTTTTTACAATTTAACAATGTGTTTGCAATGAGTGCTTTTAGTGTTAAAGGTGATGGTTGTACCACTAACTAAAGATCTAATCCCTGAAGACTTTGACTGCAGTCTTTTTAATCTCTTAATCCTTGCAGCCCATCAAGGTTTTGGCTCTGTATAAAGATGCCAGAAGTTTTCTGATTAGCTCTTACTAATATCTCTTTTTCTGTACTCATATGCAAATTGCACTTAACTTCAAATTGTGTTACAAAACCATTACGTATATAATCCTGGTCCTGTCGAATCTTTATGTACATGCTAGTCCATTGAGGCTTATTTCCTCATTAGTGCTTGGGTTTAGTATTGTTTTTTGCGTTCTCCAGATATTGAAACCAAGCTATACATTTAATCTTACACAATTTGTTGATCTTGCTCTAAACCAACCTGCTTACAGTACCACCTAGAGAAAAGATTAGGGCTACAGAGTAAAACCATATCTAATCCAGTTTTAGCAGGACACGAAGGGGCTCAATGAAGTGCTAGTATATGTATCATATTTTGAGACACAACCCCTATCGGTCGTGGTTAAATACAAGGATTAGAATAGGTAGATGCTGCAGCAAAAATATTACCATGTCTAATTGTTTTTAATGTCGTTTGCAGCAGAAGACTATCAGCATATTGAGTTTGGCGTTGATGAGGTAATTGATTCCAAGCCTATCGGGATCAATGATCCATTGTATAAAGTATCCAGCAAGCTCAACCCTCAGGCTCCAGAGTTCATCCTGGGTTCTGGCCCAAAACCTCCCAAGACCACTTCACATACGGCTGATGACCCTGATGGAGCCCATTTCAACTCGCTCGATTGTCCGGACTCTGATATCTCGGGCCTGAATAATCACCAGGGTTGCCAGGACATGGATGGTAGTGCTGGGTCCCTGGCACAGCGAGAGAGAAAGAAAAAGAAAAAGCGTCCGCCTGGATACTATAGCTATTTGGACTCATCCAGCAGTGTTGCACCAGATGGTACACCTGGGACTGTAATGGTAAATGGACATGCACTTGGCCCCCAGCATCACAGTGCGGAGGACATGGACAACAACAATGCTCTGTCAGGAGAACTGTCCGTTTCTGATCATGTTTCCTTAGCATCTTCAATGGCTGAAATGAACTTTGCTCCTGCACCACCTTCCAGTCAGAGAACTTGTGAAAGCCCTGACTCTTCTTTAGACTTTGTAAGTGGAGGGGGCTCTATACCAGAGTCTAATGTTGCAACTTCTTCTTCTTCTTCTTCATCCTCTCAAAGCAGGGGGACAATAGAGGCACAGAGGACTGGAGATCAGCAGGACATTTTAGAACCTCAAAGCCCCAAACTTGCAGATAGACCAAACAGCCCCCCTTCCAAATCGACCAGCCCTCCCCCTTTTACCACTTCTCCCACTACTGCACAGGAGGAGCGGGGAGCTGTGAACAGTGACTTGGCCAATGGGCTCCCAACTGATGAGTCGGTGGGCACAGAGGAACAGAAAGTGGACAGTGAAAATGGTGAGGAGGTGCGGCCTGTTGCCTCAGACTCTGCTCTGCCCTCAACGACAGATCATGTTAATTTAGTTGCAACCCAAGCTGCACCTACTGCCAGTCGGCCTAAATCATGGGCCAGCCTCTTCCACAACTCTAAACCTCTGCCTGGTGGACCTCAGGCGTTTGTGGAGGTTAAACATGTTGTGGACGTAGTTGTCCCCTCTTCTCTTGCTGCATTGGAGCAGTATGAAAAGATGGGGGAAGTCAAGGAGACTCCAGTTCATGTGTCGGAAGATCCCATGGCCCCTAAACTTGCAGGTATAAAAACAAATACGCAATTTCATATTTCTGTACTCTCATGGTTATCCCTCATACATGCACTTTCACTACTGCAGTGGTCTTCAAAGGGCTTTTTGAATTCAGGCTTTCATTCCAACCAAGCACGAGCACACCAGACTCCACCCATTCTGTCAAGTGAGTCTAGTCTTGACCTGAAGACTTGAAAATGGGTATAGTCTGATGTGGTCCTGCTGGAATTAAAACCGGTAGCCACACGGCCGTTTTGAAGACCACTGCTCTACTGTGTCATTCATTTTGGGTTAGGGAGCAGTATGCTGTGTGGACAGCAAACAGTTATCTAACTATTGTTCAATGTTGGCCTATTGTTTCTCAACCAGGGGTTTGCCAAGGTATTAGAGGGTTTGGGGTAGGGTTATTATTGCAAGCATTGAAAGTTAGAGGTTAATGTAAGCTGCCATGGCAGCTCATGCTTCTCATGCTTCTCATTGAGCGTGTGTATATTCCAACAGCGAATGACCACTATTATGATATGACTGTTACCTTTATTTGAAGTCAGTTTTTTTGGCTTGTGATTGGTTGAGGACTACAACAGTCTTCCCTAAGCCCTCAATCCTGCTCCTATCCCTCAGCGCTGTGTCCTCTGCAGCTGTATTTCAGTGTATGCTCGCTCGTGAGGCATGTCATGTGTGATGTTATGACAAGCTCCTGAGGAAGATGACTTTTGAAATGTGTCACGTAATAACATTACTATATTACATTTGTTTGGTATAGAAGAACCAAATAACCTGATATTGTATCTAAAAAAAAAGCAAGAAAATAGTTCCTTTCCTCAAAGAAAACTGGAGACGTAGGTAAAACGGAACACGCAAAAATAGTTGTAGCCCCTGACCAGCTCTTATTTTTGGATTGTGACCCGCTGACAAAATTAGTTTTACACCCCTGGGTACGTAGACGGGGGAGAAAAGGTCGGGGACCACTGCTTCAGTTTATTCATTTTTTCAGTCATTAGTCAACTTTTTAAAACTCTTACGTTTTGGTCTATAATTTGTAATCACGTGTGATCCAATTTGATAAAGCAGTTAAATTCGAGAAAACACTAGATGGCAGTACAGTATCTAAAATAGATTAAGTTTTCCTATGACGGGAAAGATGGATCTCTGGATTGATTCAGATACTGTATATAAAGTTATCTTTATATAAAACTTTCCTTGGTATGTGCATTGTTTAGAAGCGTTGTTGAATAATGTAATTGCTTGCTTTTTAGTTGTATTTTTTTATCAATATGCCTCATGTGCTGTCTATCATGTATTGACTCCTGTGTAGTATGTACACTTGTAACTACTTTACTCCACGTTACCATGGGGGCTGTTTTTTCTCAATAACATGCTCCCTTCCTAGGCGTGGAAAAGAAACTTCTTTTATTCATATTTGCTCATGCTCTCCTCATAAGTGACATATGAAAGAAGAAACATCCAACTCGTGGGTTATAGGAAATGCACACACATGTATAAATTGAAGGAAATGTATGAAGAGACGATTACAAGAAGTTTAAACACATGAATGATTCTAACCATCGATGTAAAGGTTATTCATGGGTGTCAGTGCTCTCACATGCTTTCAACTTGTTTTGCCAATCTTTCATGTTAACCATTTGGACGTTTTCTGCAGTAAGTTTCCCACAAGGGCAGTTTTTTTTTTATTGGGGCCAACCAGCCTTCTCATCAATTTATATTATCGAAGGGTTGCGAGAAGTTTGTAATTTGAAAAAACAAACAAAAACACAATAACTGAAATAGATTCTTATGCAATCTGCATTGTATCATATGCATACTATTGCTGGTAATATGAATCTTGACCACATTTCTTTTGAATTCACAGAACTTATTGAGAATGTGAAGTTGATACATAAACCAGTGTCTTTGCAGCCGAGAGGACTAATCAATAAGGGAAACTGGTGCTATATTAATGCTGTATCCTTTACGAGAAACAAAGCTATGAACACATGCACACGTTGCCGCCGGTCTATCCTTGACTCGGGAACCCTCAGACTCTCCAAGCCCTAATCGCCTGCCCACCCATGTACCACCTGATGAAGTCCATACCTCTGCATAGTGAAACACAGCGACCTTGTACCTCCACACCAATGATGGACAACTTGTGAGTTCATTAATATTCATCATCTATGTGGCTTTTATTCACCTGTTCACACACGTTTGTTTTTTAGCGTAAGACTAGTGAATGAGTTCAACAACATGCCTGTGCCGTCAAAGACCAAGCAACAAGGTTAAACTTTAGACAACTCTGCTGCCACTCTGCGGTGTAGACTTGTCATGATTTACTAACTTGTATTTTTGCCACAGCCGGCGACAAAGTTGTGAAAGACATCCGGCCCGGCGCACCCTTTGAGCCCACATACATTTACAAACTTCTTACTCTTATCAAGTCAAGTCTTTCTGAGAAGGTAATATTTAGTTTGTATAAAACCCAAGTTCCTCTCATGAAGGCGACAGGAACTATCGTATTCATGTTTATTTGGCCACTGTCGCATATTTAGAGCAGCTTTTTAAGACAAAAGTGAATAACAACAATCCTCAACTCATTCCTCCAGCCTTCCTTTCTGCTCTCAGCCCAAAGCGTTGAATATTGATTCACAGGGTTCGCAAAATGTTTTCTAATAACGTGAAGACTGCATGATGTAGTCTGATTTATGTATTTTAAGTCTTTCTCTTTGGACAAACCTAATTTATACATTACAGTCACACATCTAAACAGATTATCAAGTTTAGCTGCTTTTTCTTTGTATTGTATATTTACGGATGTGTAGTATCCTATTATCTCTTTTATTCTGTAAATGTGTAAATTTTCACAGATATGTATATTCCTGAGTACCTATATCCAGATGATTCTATTCTCACAATAGTATGTTATTATTTTCAGGTTGTTACTTTATTCTTTTCCTTGTTATTTTTATGTGGAATACTATGCAAGCTACTGCGACCACGCAATTTCCCTCGTGGATCAATTAAGTCTAAGTTATGAAACCAAAGTTAGGTCCCCCAGCTTTATTGAGTCAACTCGTTTGCATCCTGAGATAGTATCTAGTATAGTAACGGTTCTCAATTAAAACTTGTTTTGTACCAAGTGTTTTTGAACAATCTGCATTCTTCAATACTCTACAGGGACGACAAGAGGATGCAGAGGAGTATCTTGGCTTCACTCTTAACGGGCTACATGAAGAAATGCTTGCTCTGAAAAAAATGATCTCTCCTCAGGAATATGGTGTGTGGTCTATTTTCATATACTGTTTTTTAACATTGCCAAACCAAAAAGCTCTTTTTGCAACATGTCATTGTTTTTATTTTATTTATTTTTTTTGCGTGGCAGAAGTTTCAGCACCTAATGGACCCGACACTCAGCCGGGTGCAGAGGAAGAGGATGCTGAAAAAGAGGAAGATGGCAGTGAGGACGAATGGGAGCAGGTCGGCCCAAGAAACAAGACTTCAATCACCCGACAAGCAGACTTTGTTCGCACGCCAATCACGGATATATTTGGTGGACACATCAGGTATGCTGCCACGCAAAAAAATATATAGGGGGGAGACGACTTGTTAACTGAACATTAACAGCTTTCATGTTGGGACTCAATAACCAGTATATTTTGACAATAAGCCTGCATTCTAAAGCTACTAAACCGTGATGTCAAAAGAATTGGTCTATGCACTCTGCTCTCCGCTTTATAGGCCAGAGAGCAAAGACATTAAGAACTTGGTCTCATATAGTCCTGCCATTACTTTAATGTGCCTATGATATTGATCCATTCCATTTATAGTATGAGTAATAGTTACTGTAGTTTAATCCTAAGGCCCTGTTTACACTGAGACGCTGTGACAGTAAAGCAAAAAGTTGACTTGAAAAATTGAAAATGGCATCTTTGCTCTAAACTGGTACAATACATCTCTCCTTTGTGTTGGTGTTTAATTGTACACCGTCGATGTTCAAATACATACCATACTAGCAGATGATAGATTGTGTTTTTGCGAATTGCTTGGCTGCAATTCTGTGTAAATGGGGCCTAAATAGTTTCATCAGCGGTCATTTTGTTCTAAAGGTTCTTATCTTTTAGGTCGGTGGTTTACCAACAAAACTCAAAGGAATCGGCTACACTTCAGCCTTTCTTCACGCTCCAGTTGGATATCCAGTCAGAAAAAATACGCACTGTCCAGGAGGCTTTGGAAACATTGGTGGCCAGAGAATCTGTCCAAGGATACACGACAAAAACAAAGCAGGAGGTGCGGCATCTGAAGTTTTAATTTTTGATTATCCTATTGTCAATATCTTTATTTTTTTAAGTTTCTATGCATTTTTGTTTTCTAGATTGAGATCAGTCGAAAGGTAACTCTGGAGGAGCTCCCCCCAGTCCTTGTGCTCCACCTCAAAAGATTTGTCTTTGAAAAGACTGGAGGTTGCCAAAAACTAACAAAGATTATTGACTACCCTGTTGACCTTGAAATAAGTAAAGGTAATGTCCTAATAATAATTGATAAATTTGTTTCATTAACTTTGATTTTCATTATTTTTTGAATGATTTATTATTTTTCTTTAGACCTGTTGTCATCCGGAGTTCGGAGTAAAGTTTTGAAAGGCCAAAGAACTTACAGGCTCTTTGCCGGTGGGTAGTGTTGGAACTCATTCGCGTCCAATTCCTTGAACATTAGTTAAAATAACTAATTTGTTATGTTTTTAATTAGTGGTCTATCACCATGGAAACAGTGCAACAGGTGGTCACTACACAACAGATGTCTTCCACATTGGTCTTAATGGCTGGCTGCGCATCGATGACCAGGCAGTGAAGATCATCACTCAGTACCAGGTGGTGAAGCAGACTGCAGAGCGCACAGCTTACCTGCTGTACTACCGCCGCGTCGACCTGCTGTAGACACTTCAACTGCAAGAAACAGGATGCTAGAATACGCCAATATAATGCACACCATGCACTCAAAATGCAGCAAATCTAAATAAAACACCAATCTAATGATCAGGAACACTGCCCAACTTGTTTTCTTGCATTTTTTTTTCTTTTACTCCTGCTTTTCCAAGAACCAGCTTTTCTGACACTTTTTGTTGAAGGGAGACTGCATTCACTTAAAGCTCCTTGTGACTGCCCTCCTCTGTGCAACACTGCTGTTTTTTTCCAGTCTCATGTGGTTTCATCAGCGTGAAAGGACCATTACTGGATGGTGACGTTTTATCTTTGGACCTGAGACTATTCTGCACATCTGCTTGGATCGGAATGGGTGAACTTGTACACAGAGATCTCTGCACCACAGGCTGCAAATGAATAGCTGGGGACTCAAGTTTTGGTTTGAGAACTTTTAAGGAGGAGATATCAACATCTGCCTTTACATAGGAAAAATGTTGTCTTGATGAATTTGCAGCTGTCTAAAATCCTGTTTGCTTCGAAATGGCCCAGCACCAGCATTATCATTAGTCATTTTGTTAAAAGGCCAGATTATGTTCTGCCATCTCCCAGTCGCCATTTTCTGACTTTTTATTTTATTTTTAATCTATCTAGGTAAAACCTGAGCCAATAAAACCAGGTGAAAGATGGGGGAATAAAATCTTCTCATACAAAAATTCTTGTATGAGAAATTTGTTATGCTTTCTGGTTTTAGATATAGAAACATCTCTTAAAATGCGCTTTAGAAGTTGTGCAGAAAAGCTCAAATTATGACAAAGTGTACATGACTGGCAAATCAGATGTTGCATATACTTAGTATTAAAGTATATTAATGAGAATTTCTGGCTAAAAATAATCAAACAAAAACCTTGTTTGTGTCCAAATGGACGGTGCTGGTTTTAACGCAGCACAGCGAACCTGCTCTTGTGGTTCCATTATTTCTTAGAGCTAAACTTCATTGTTGGGTACGAAGCCCATCAGTCACTTTTCCACTTTATGCAGTGGTGAGTGCTATGGTACGTCCAGCTCGAGCTGTGTTTATTGTGACAAGATGTTGGTCTGCATCCTGTTATTTCTGCATAAAATGAAATGTGGAACAAGGGGACATAGTGTTTGCTTTTGTTTTCATTTTTACAATCCATGGATTATATATTTTTTGCATTACTAAAACATTTGTTTTTCATTAATGTTCCCATTCTCTATTCAATCACAAATTACTGGAATTGGTGTTGGAAATGTCAATGGCTAAAGCACAATTAATAAAACTAATCTAGTTCTTTGCTTGATATTTATTTTAAGTTTTTTCATTTTTGATTTTGTCATTTTTTTGTATCTAGTCACTATCTGTATTAGTGATGAATTTTGATTGAAATCGCTAAAGTCCATAACGAGCCACAATTGCACTAAGTTATTCGCCACTTCGAGTCCGTCATCACATGCTCCATTGCCACCAGGTTCTTGCTGTTTACCATAAACCTTTTTTTTTAAACAGATTTCATGCTGCTGACTTTGCCACTTCTGCACAATTTGTGACATTGTCCATTTGTTTTTTTGCTAAACCTTTTCAAACAAATTGCAGCAAGTAAGAATTTGGACAAGCGATACCAAGCTTTCTATTGTTCACTTGATCTCGGCCTTCTGTGACTCGTTGCGTTCACTGCTGGGGAAGTGCTTCAATAATGTCATTTCAGTATTTGCTTCTAACAACTGTCTGCTGGGAAGTGTTGACAACTTATTGATAATCTGTCTATACTCCTAATTTCAGCCTCTAGCATTCTATTTTGTTTATTGTTCAAAATAAAGGATTGTGCAAAAAGTGATTTTTCCAATGCGGTTTAGTACCTCAAGGTTCAGGTTTCAATGTTCACTCTTTTTTCATTTGTGGTGTTTTAATCAATATTATGTTGATCCATTCACATATTATTCTTTTGAGTAATGGAGTAGAAGTTTAGATCCAGAAAGTTTGGGGAATTACTATATTTAATACATTTCACCAAAATTGCTCAAACAATTAACATGTTCATGTATAACTTGTTGCTCATTGATTTGTTTGATTTAGAAAAGCTTGAAACATTTTTATATCATGATTGTTTATTGAACCTTGCGTAGATTTCAATATGCTGGGGAGAGATTTGGATTAGGCTAATGGATTTGTTGTGCTATTGTTATTTTATCAAGTAAATTATGGCCCTATTCTGCATTTATTATGAGTCATAACATCTTTTCTCAACATGTTTAATTTTTTTTTACCTAATAGATTTCTAATTTTGTTGAACTTTTTTAATAATCATAATCAGATTAGTTGCAAGTAATTTGTAACTTGCATGTATGTATTGCATGTACTTATTGTACATGCAATTGCTACAATTTTGTAAAAACTGGTCCATAATTTGCGTTTCCGTACACGTATGTTCCGTATGTAAGGAAGGAAGCTCCATGTGTGTGGAACAGCAATATTACTCACATTCTGTCTAATTATACTAAGCTGAATTATGCAAATTAGGTGCAATTGAAGAAATCGTTACAAGAAAACTTCACTGGAATGTTCCTTCAGTGAAGTCTTTCCGCTTGGCTGCACAAAGGCTGGTTGGGCACACAGAAGACAGACGTTAGACTTTTATAAATCGATTCTAAGTGTTACAGTATACGTCTGACGAAGGCTGTTTTGAGTTATTCATCCTGAACACCACCAAACGTCACACAAGTGCATCCTGGACATTAAACACTATTATTGCTCATTTGTGTACAGTTATGTACAATACAAGAGTAGAATTATTTTATTAGTCGACTGGTTGATTTTGTTGTATCAAACATGGTGACTCAAAGCTCCAAGATGAAGAAAATATACAAGTCCTAAATTTTAATCCTATTTCTGATGCTCAGGGTCATTGTGTGAGGATCCATTCAACAAACTGACCCCACCAAACACGGATCTGTTTCTCAGAACTTCTAACAAAGCATCTGACAAACTGTATTTGGTCGTGAGCAGGTTGTACTATGAGGCAGCGCTGGTGCCATTTCCAGTAAATGCCTAAAACGCACATCCTTTGCAAATAATTGAATCATCCAACTTGACTCATGAAACACTACGCAATGCTTTGTGTACTTTCCAATTGCTTAATGTGAGAGATTGTATTTTAATCCAACTTCTCTTTTAAATGCCACATAATACATACTTACTGATTTATTTTAGAACTGTGCCTACTATAGAAATTTACCACATAGTTTTTTCAAAAAAAAACCTCCACATTCCTGGTACATGGGTCCGCTTTTTGCTCAGTTCCATCTAATTTGAATGTTATTTTTCCTTGAATCTTCCACAGTGAGGAATTTTCTCCCCACATAGGAGAAACGCAAGTTAATTAACTAGGCTAGTTGGTAAGTTACATTACATGAATGCATGTGTTTGAGCAGAGAGAACAGGGTAACTAAATAATAACATACTTGAATACTTTCCAAGCTAAGCAATAACATCTCCATGGAAACAAGCAGATCATATCAAAAAACTTGCGCAGTTCCTCTTTAGGGCCTGGCTGCTTTATTCCAAATTTAACAAAAAGTCTTGTTTTAGACTTGGCTTAAATGTGGCTAAATTGATAATGCAAAAACTAAATCTAAAATACAACACAATAGTATAGTTCAAATATTTTTTCTTTTCTGGGTCGGGGGTGGCAATCAGGGCTGCCACCCAATGCTCATAGCCCCAGTCTCTTCACCTGCTCTAAGTCTTTTTTCTTGTAATTGCACATAATTATATTTGTATAATTTGGGGGGCAACCACTTTGATTGCCCTAATTGCAGATTAATGCACATTTTACCCACATGTGAAAGCCAGATCCCTTCAAACCTCTAAAGCTAAACAGGAAGGGGTCTGGTTTGTACTGTGATGGGAGACCTCTGGGAACACCAGGTGCCACAGTGGGGCAACTGGGCTGTAACGTGGCAAACTGTTGTTGAGTTCTTCGGCAAGATCTATATTGAGTGTTGTGTGTGGATGGTTGCACGTGGTCGGAGTGGCCGATGGCACATACTGGTTACCTCGCTTCTGTCATTGCGCCCCAGGGCAGCTGTGGCTCCATACACTCCACCGTCTATGGAGTGAAAGAATAATGACATGTAAAGCGTCTCTGAGTGTCCAAGAAAGCGCTGTATAAAACTGATGTCATTATTCATTCAATTACATCCCCTTTAACTAGCGGATGTAAGTGGTAAAACACAAAACGAAAAGGGCTAGAATAGATAATATTGTTGTTTAACCCTGACGTTGACCCACGTGGTCCTCACCTGTCTCTTTGACGCGCACGCCTGCTCAGTGAAAAGAATATCCTGCATAGAGCTGCCTGTCGTGGACGCGCCTGCAGAAGGGGGTAGGTGCTGGAGACGTGGTCAGATTTTCCCCGTGTCCTGAAGGGTCTCCGCACTATATAAGACTGCCCTCTCATCTCACACAACTCCATTCCGCCTGAGGAACGGTCTGCAAGAGGTTCCTCCGGATCTGGACTTGTTTACAGGTAAGCCTTTGGGGATTTCATCACAATGTAGGGTTATAATAGTTTATCTGTGAGTGCATTTAAAACGTAGAGTCCTATGGGTGTAACATTCCTGCGAAAATTCAATATTATTGTCTTGTCTTGACGGATCTACCCACTGTCCTGCGATCAGAGTCTGTTTCTTGTGCTCTGTCACTTTGGTATAAAATTCATGAGAGCAATGAGAAAGGCGCACACAGAGGGGCTGTTCGAGGCTCGGTGTGAAGCGGGGGAGAGGGGAGTTTGCAGGGTGTGGTGGTGGTGGTGGTGCGCCGGCTGACCATGCTGGCATCGCGAACAGAACATGGACCAGACCCCAACGCGGTCCTTTATAGTCTGCAAGAGACCAGCATAAGACGAATATACTTGTTGGCTTTTTGCTTTTTGTTTGTGACTGCATCCCAATATGCATCAAAGAGACTGCAAATGGACCAGTGTGATATTAACTTAATATGATGATGTCATCGCAATCACTGCTGCTGTCTGTGATTAAGGTGATTATTATTATTATTATTATTGAACATAGTAAAATGGGACTTGTTTCACTATTTGTAAAAGGAGATATTTCAGTCTGTCAATCAATATATACCAATCCATGTCAAAGTGAGTGAATGAGCAGAACTGGCCTGGACAAGGAAAATAAGAATATAAATGTTAGTGTCATTTCTATCATCTTTCCATGTCTATAGCCTTGGTTGCAGCCATCAAAAACATGTCTCTATTTTTACCCACTGAATAGCATCACAACAAGTTCTCAAACACCAACATAAAGTATATACAATTATTTCCACGCTCCACAGATCAGTCCAGTCCATCATCACATTGACCTCCAGAGTCATGGCCCATCTTGTCCTGCTATCCCTGCTGGTGCTGTCTGTCATGGAGGCCACCTCAGTCGTCCTGCCAGACTCTCCGGAGCTGAGAGCCCTGTTGAGCCGCTACGAAGAGGAAGCCCAACAACCTGTGAACCGGAGCAGACGAGCCATCCGCTGGTCCGACCGCGAAGAGATCATCCAGCTCCATAACAAGCTGAGGAGTGGCGTCTATCCCACTGCATCCAACATGGAGCACATGGTGAGACACACAGCGGTAACCAGCTATTATTGTCTGCTTGTAAAGAGCAATTACAGATGTTGCCTTTTAAAGTTTACGTGTCAGCAACATTAGCCTGCAAATTGGGGGTGATGATTAGAATTCAAGTTTTATTTGGCGCACCAGAAGCATGCTTTTAAACGGCCCTTTCTCTGGCCTGGAAACATGCAGTCACTATAGTAAACCATTGGCAGCCCGCTGTGCAGCTCTTTCACAAGGTGTAATAATGCTGACTCTGTTCAACCTGCAAACACTGAAGGAGCCAAAAAGACAGCAGCTAGTTAAGGAAAAGCTTGTGAACGACGTGAGTGATGGCCCCTAGTTTCGTTATCCCAGACACATTCTGGTTTAACAAACTAAGATGTTTATCCCTGTTTAAATGTGTTATTGTAGTGAACTGCATGGTTACTTTGATTTCTATTTACATTCATTTTTACTCTCCCACCTCTCCAGTTTGGTGGAAGGTTTATTCAGTGCTGGCTGCTCCAGTTCCAGATTTCTCAGAACAGCTTGTGTGTGTGAGCGTGTGTGTGTGTGTATTTGTGGTTCAGTGGTGTCTAGAACGTTGTTGACCACCAAACGGGCTGGAATTTTACTGGGGGAGATGCACGGCTAGAGAGGGAGTCAGGTGTCTTCTCTGCTTTCCCAGCTCCGCACCACTGCAGTGAAGAAGCTGCCCTACTCAGGAAATGTGGATAATTTAGCTGTGATTGCTGGAGATTTGTTGTGGAATAGGGCCAGGAGCAGCTGCCCTTCTCCTGTGTCAGTGTTGAAAGTTAATGTGATACTCAAAGCCACTGTAGCCTCAGCTCACCAGGAAGGAAGGAAGGAAGTGTAAAACAAGCACCTGGGCAGACTGTTAAGGCCTTGCATGTTTGAACCAATGCAAACCTCTGCTGTAGAATGATGGAGTTGTTAATAGTCTATGGTGTTTAAACATTGAACTAATATTGCAGGTGTGGGATGAGGAGTTGGAGCGCTCTGCCACACATTGGGCAGAGCAATGTCAGTGGGACCATGGACCTCACGACCTGTTGCGATCCATCGGCCAAAACCTGGGTGTTCACTGGGGGAGGTATGATGTCTGCATGTTACATTGACTTCATGAGATATGTGTCGTTGAGTTCATTTATAACAAACATGCATTTCAAACATGTTATAATCTGAATGAAAATAGGTTTCTCCCTAGCTGCCCCTCTTTTAGTCCTTTGCCAACAACTATGATGCAAAGACATTTTTCCCACTCCTTGTACCCTCCACTCAACTCTGTTCAGGACCGTAAAAAGACATGTTTATAAGAAAGGCTCCAGTTGATCTCTAAGACTGTAGAACCATGTTTACATAATGCTGGTACTTTATTTTTGACCTCCTATGGGACTGTTTTGCAAGTTTTGTCAGTTCAGTTTGTACTCAATAACTGTGGGTTTGTCTATCTATGTCCACAGATATCGGCCTCCTGCCTTCCATGTCCAAGCCTGGTATGATGAGGTCAAAGACTACACTTTTCCTTACCCTAATGAGTGCAACCCTTGGTGTCCAGACCGCTGCTCTGGGCCCATGTGCACTCATTATACTCAGGTAAGGTACGCTTAAACTGAAATGAATGTTCTTATCCATGTCAAATCCTTGCTGACCATTGTGGTAAATATTGGATGTTGGTGGTGACATTGGCTAAATTAATCAAGATGGATAGATATAAACCATACTTTATCGATTCTCCACTGATATCCAATAGCTAAACCAAGGACTGTAAAAGGAATATATATAGTGTTTGCCTTGTAGCAGAAGAGACAAATGAGAGCAAACTCAAAAAGACTCAATGGGCGGGACTCTAGGGTCAAGTTCTCAGATAGTAACGACCTGGCAAAGAGCCAATCAGAAGCGCTGCTGATCTTTTTCTGCTTGCACTATTCTTTGTCTTTAGCAAAATTCACTAAAGAAACATAGGAGAAATGTTTTTTATTTTACCAGTTATAGTACTCGTAGAGTTCACCCTTTTTGCTTTCTGACTTAGTAATAAAATACTAAATGTAATTCCTGGCTCAGCATGAGTAGTATTTTGACCCTAAATGTTCTTCTGAATAATATTTGGCTCCCGAACATGAGCAGTTTAAAAACCATAGTGTGTGATATGATTAATAGAATAAGAACTTAAAAACAACCGCCTTCCTTTGCAAAACTTGGATGGATTTACATAAACATTCTCTCCTCTTTTTGCCTTCAACCTGTAATCTGATCATAGCCATCTGGCAGTCATTTCCAGACGCACCACCACTCACGCTGCTGACCTGGATTCTTTCTGAAGATGCCGCAAGACCTTTCTATGTTCGCTATAAGCATGGTCTTCCTGTTTCCCCCCCAAAATCAAAATGATCGGTGATTTGCAATATTGTACCGAGGTCAGAACAAACCATGGGCCTCAGCTTCACACTGTGACAGCACCACCCATCTGCTAGTCTGCTGACTCACTGCTTCCAGAGGCCTCTAACATTACAAGGAAAGAGATGCACATACTTGGGGAAAGAGCCTGCAGCTTAAAGTTTGAGTAGATACAGTAAATACTTGAAACTAATGGTGTCTTTTCTCGGGTTTCCTTTTTTTCTGCTCTCAATTCAACTCACTTAAACTATAACCCTAAATCACAACAGTAAATACAATACAGTAAAAAAAACACAGATCAGAGAACATTTCAGCACAAGAAATGCAATAATAAAAACATATAGTCATTGGTTTATAGGGGGCCATAAATCATGATAAATGTCCATAAATGTGGTTGAATGAGTTGAATTTTGAGTTTCCTGGATCATCACCACTGTCCTTTAAGTCAGACCCTCTAACAGTCTAACTGACCCTCCTGCATCGAATACTACTACTACTACTACTACTGCTGTATTTGTTCTGTCTGTCGTCAAGTGTATTATGGTTTAGGTAATGATAGAGATACCCTAACCTTTTTCAGGTAGGTCCTCAATGGATTCAGGAATTATGCTGAACAATTACATTTAATATCCTTTCATATCTACATCTCTTGCCTCTATAACTTTATTTTATGTGCACAAATGTAGGGATATGCAGTTTGATTGTATAATTTGTGTTCTCCATGGTTTTCTGTAGTTTCTTAAATAGATTAAACATTTACCAAGACCTTATGGTTCATGAAAATATCTCTCTGATTGAAGTTGAAGTTGCTGAATTAAAAAAGCAAACAAATATTGCATACCGATCCAGTCAAAACAGCATATTCATCAGGAAGAACACAGCTTCCAATATAGAATTTGTGTAACATTTCCAATATCTTTTCACAGTTGGTCTGGGCAACTACAAGTCGTGTGGGATGTGCTGTTCACGTGTGTCCGCAGATGAATGTATGGGGAGAAATCTGGAACAACGCTGTTTATCTTGTGTGCAACTATTCACCAAAGTAAGATTTTAAATGGTGTATGAATCAATAATGCTGTTCTATACACTGTTTGTTTTGGAAATGGTTGGCCCTCTTTATGGCGAACACAAATTAGTGGTGACATGTTGAATACCATTCCAATACCTGACAATTGTGGATATTTTCTTGGCCCATTACAAAACATGGGTCAAGAAAGTATCTATAAGTGAGAGTTAGAAATATAGACACAGGAGAAGTTTTGTTCGTTTGTGGGGCTAACGGCTTTTAAATCACTGACCCAATTGGCAAACACTCATTGAAGTAATTATAAGTCCTGAGGGTTGCGATGCCTGACTCATGAATAATTTCCACCAAGTCAAATTGTCCATTGTTTCACTCCTATAGAGGTAACTGGATCGGAGAGGCGCCCTACCAGCACGGGCGCCCCTGCTCTAAGTGTCCCCCCAGCTATGGAGGGGGGTGTCGGAACAACCTGTGCTACAAAGGTGAGCGAGCACACATGGCTCTCATGACTCATATGTTGACATTTCCATGTAGTTAACTTCGTTGTCTTTGTTGCCATGTAAGATTCACAGATTTCCGAAACAGAAGATATGAATGAAGTGGAGAAGCCTCAAGCTGCTCTACCTCCTCGCACAACACCTAAACCAACTGTAAAACCCAAACTTCCAGTGAAGAAACCAGCGTCCAGGCCCTCGCCTCCTAAGAGCAGCACTCCCAAGTCACCAGCTGCAACTCCTGGAAACAACTTCTTGGGTAGAGCGCAAAAGCAACATTCACTTCCACAATGCAGTGGCTCATGATGTGTTTTTTCTTCAGCACATAACATCAAATGCGAGACTAAATTGCGAGATAAGTGTAGAGGAGTTACCTGTAATCGGTGAGTCAGAATGTTTATGACCTTTTGTAGCAGTTCAACTAAAATAGGTTCTTTCACTGTGAAGATTCAAATGCCCGGCTAACTGCCTCAATAAAAAGGGAAAGGTTTATGGCACTCTTTTTTACGATGTGGTGAGTCTGATGGACATATTCTGTTACAACCTTGAAGGCTATAACTAATGACTGACATTTCAATGTTTTAGCAATCAAGTATCTGCCGGGCAGCTATTCATTTTGGCGTGATTGACAACAATGGAGGCCTTATAGACGTCACAAGAATGGAAAAATTTCCATTTTTTGTAAAATCCACAAAAAATGGTGTGGAGTCCTCCAGGTATGTTGTAAATATAATTTCCCAATTCTAAAATAAGACATGACATTACATTTTTAATTAATATTTTGTAGTAAATATAAACCTGGAAATGCATTTGTTATGGCCAAAGTGCAAGGTAACACACAATACTTCTCGTATCACATAAATGTGGTATTTGGCGTGAGATTATTTTATTTTGTTGGAACTTCTTTTTCAGGAATGTCTGTAGACTGTTATGCAACAGTTGCTGAAATCTGTCCTTACAAAAAGATAAACTCACACTGTCCAAGGTGAGTTCATATATACACAATATATACAATATATATACAATCTTATTGTATATTTGTTAGTGTATGCAACGCTTGTTTTTTCTGGCAGGATTTCCTGTCCAGCTGACTGCAAGAGCCAGCCTTCTTACTGGTCACCAGTGATTGGAAACAGCATTTATGCAGATGTAAGTTTTGTACTGTGAAGTTACATGAGGTTTGCAGACACTCCCCTCAATATTTTGGAAAGCCACAATTGTTATGATTGAGGTCTATGGAGTATAAGAGTCATAATAAAGTAAGCCAGGGGACAACTAAGAGTTACTTCCTGAAGTCTGTAGTCTTTAAGTGAGACTTGTTTTAGCAAAAGGATGTTTTGAAAGAATGCAGCTAGATTTTTTTTTTTTAATTTAACACATGAAAAAAAAATCACCATTTTATTTGGCATACAGGATTTTATTAGATGTGATAAAAGTATCTTTAGGAAATCTTACATAGTCACATTATACAGTAAGTTCCCTCTGTCCTGAAATGCTCCGCTCTACGTTTCACGGATCCAATCTAATCTTTATTCTATTATGTTTCTTTACTCTGTGTGAGTCTATCCTATGACCTTAGATTTTCTGGAACAGAAATGGACAGAGTGATGTGTGTTTGTGTGAAAAATGAGTGACTCCTCAAGACCCCGATAAGACATTATGGTTTGTGGCTGCAAAGGCTGAAGACAGACATTTGGCTCTAACTATGGAACAACTGCCTGTGTAAACAAGTGTTTGGAACGGACGCATGCTTACTACTATAAACTGTGATTTATTCCATGTTTGAAGGACGCACCTTAAAAGTGCCTCAATTTTGTTCTAACAGCACTCAAGTATTTGTAAGGCAGCCATCCATGCTGGGGTCATCAGGCCTGATGGAGGTTTGGTGGACGTCCTACCATTGGATAAGAGAAAGAACTATGTTGGTCTTCTGAAGAATGGTATCCAGTCTGATAGGTAAGGTCCAGGTCTCAATATAATTTACAGATGAGACCTTTTGCACACGCCTTTTTAAGTTGCACATGATATGCATCCGTTAATTGTGTGAAGGTTAAAATACTTGTTATTTATTTAAAGGAAAATATCTGCACCTCTGGTATGTGCCAGAAATGGTGCATTTGTGGTCTGGAGCATGTTGAAAAGAGACATAATATACAGTCTCAATATGCCTTAGCTTTTTGCTCAAAGGGTTAGTGAAATATGCTTTTGCTAGTTTGAATATGTCAGGGCTGATAAAGCACACGTCTGGCTGAGCTCTGGCTGCTCACAAAGGCCAGAGCAATCAGACATGATAATAGAGAACACCTGTGAGCGCTGGCACTCACAGCTGTTTGTGAGTCAGCTGATTAGACACTAGTGCAGTGGACACTTCATATGAGACACTAGTGCAGTGGACACTTCATATGAGACACTAGTGCAGTGGACAGTTCATATGAGACACTAGTGCAGTGGACACTTCATATGAGACACTAGTGCAGTGGACACTTCATATGAGGCACTAGTGCAGTGGACAGTTCATATGAGACACTAGTGCAGTGGATAGTTCATATGAGACACTAGTGCAGTGGACACTTCATATGAGACACTAGTGCAGTGGATAGTTCATATGAGACACTAGTGCAGTGGATAGTTCATATGAGACACTAGTGCAGTGGATAGTTCATATGAGACACTAGTGCAGTGGACACTTCATATGAGACACTAGTGCAGTGGACACTTCATATGAGACACTAGTGCAGTGGACACTTCATATGAGACACTAGTGCAGTGGACACTTCATATGAGACACTAGTGCAGTGGATAGTTCATATGAGACACTAGTGCAGTGGACACTTCATATGAGACACTAGTGCAGTGGACACTTCATATGAGACACTAGTGCAGTGGACAGTTCATATGAGACACTAGTGCAGTGGACACTTCATATGAGACACTAGTGCAGTGGACACTTCATATGAGACACTAGTGCAGTGGACAGTTCATATGAGGCACTAGTGCAGTGGACACTTCATATGAGACACTAGTGCAGTGGATAGTTCATATGAGACACTAGTGCAGTGGACACTTCATATGAGACACTAGTGCAGTGGATAGTTCATATGAGACACTAGTGCAGTGGATAGTTCATATGAGACACTAGTGCAGTGGATAGTTCATATGAGACACTAGTGCAGTGGACACTTCATATGAGACACTAGTGCAGTGGATAGTTCATATGAGACACTAGTGCAGTGGATAGTTCATATGAGACACTAGTGCAGTGGATAGTTCATATGAGACACTAGTGCAGTGGACACTTCATATGAGGCACTAGTGCAGTGGACAGTTCATATGAGACACTAGTGCAGTGGATAGTTCATATGAGACACTAGTGCAGTGGACAGTTCATATGAGACACTAGTGCAGTGGACACTTCATATGAGACACTAGTGCAGTGGACACTTCATATGAGACACTAGTGCAGTGGACAGTTCATATGAGACACTAGTGCAAGTGGACACTTCATATGAGACACTAGTGCAGTGGATAGTTCATATGAGACACTAGTGCAGTGGACACTTCATATGAGGCACTAGTGCAGTGGACAGTTCATATGAGACACTAGTGCAGTGGATAGTTCATATGAGACACTAGTGCAGTGGACAGTTCATATGAGACACTAGTGCAGTGGACACTTCATATGAGGCACTAGTGCAGTGGACAGTTCATATGAGACACTAGTGCAGTGGACAGTTCATATGAGACACTAGTGCAGTGGATAGTTCATATGAGACACTAGTGCAGTGGACAGTTCATATGAGACACTAGTGCAGTGGACACTTCATATGAGGCACTAGTGCAGTGGACAGTTCATATGAGACACTAGTGCAGTGGATAGTTCATATGAGACACTAGTGCAGTGGACACTTCATATGAGACACTAGTGCAGTGGATAGTTCATATGAGACACTAGTGCAGTGGATAGTTCATATGAGACACTAGTGCAGTGGATAGTTCATATGAGGCACTAGTGCAGTGGATAGTTCATATGAGACACTAGTGCAGTGGATAGTTCATATGAGACACTAGTGCAGTGGATAGTTCATATGAGACACTAGTGCAGTGGATAGTTCATATGAGACACTAGTGCAGTGGATAGTTCATATGAGACACTAGTGCAGTGGACAGTTCATATGAGACACTAGTGCAGTGGATAGTTCATATGAGACACTAGTGCAGTGGATAGTTCATATGAGACACTAGTGCAGTGGACAGTTCATATGACACTAGTGCAGTGGATAGTTCATATGAGACACTAGTGCAGTGGATAGTTCATATGAGACACTAGTGCAGTGGACAGTTCATATGAGACACTAGTGCAGTGGATAGTTCATATGAGACACTAGTGCAGTGGACAGTTCATATGAGGCACTAGTGCAGTGGATAGTTCATATGAGGCACTAGTGCAGTGGATAGTTCATATGAGACACTAGTGCAGTGGATAGTTCATATGAGGCACTAGTGCTGTGGACAGTTCATATGAGGCACTAGTGCAGTGGATAGTTCATATGAGACACTAGTGCAGTGGATAGTTCATATGAGACACTAGTGCAGTGGATAGTTCATATGAGGCACTAGTGCAGTGGACAGTTCATATGAGACACTAGTGCAGTGGATAGTTCATATGAGGCACTAGTGCAGTGGACAGTTCATATGAGGCACTAGTGCAGTGGATAGTTCATATGAGACACTAGTGCAGTGGACAGTTCATATGAGGCACTAGTGCAGTGGATAGTTCATATGAGGCACTAGTGCAGTGGACACTTCATATGAGGCACTAGTGCAGTGGATAGTTCATATGAGACACTAGTGCAGTGGATAGTTCATATGAGACACTAGTGCAGTGGACAGTTCATATGAGACACTAGTGCAGTGGATAGTTCATATGAGACACTAGTGCAGTGGATAGTTCATATGAGGCACTAGTGCAGTGGATAGTTCATATGAGACACTAGTGCAGTGGACAGTTCATATGAGGCACTAGTGCAGTGGATAGTTCATATGAGACACTAGTGCAGTGGACAGTTCATATGACACTAGTGCAGTGGATAGTTCATATGAGGCACTAGTGCAGTGGATAGTTCATATGAGGCACTAGTGCAGTGGACAGTTCATATGAGGCACTAGTGCAGTGGACAGTTCATATGAGACACTAGTGCAGTGGACAGTTCATATGACACTAGTGCAGTGGACAGTTCATATGAGACACTAGTGCAGTGGATAGTTCTTGAGTTTGTGTGTGGTGTTGTGTTGCGTTTATGTGTGTGTATTAAGAATTGTGTGTGTTAAGAATATTGGTGCGGTTTACTGTGGTGTGGTGGGGCCATATGTAAGCTTAGATTACTAATGAAAACAGACTGAACTGAATAACACATGCATCAGTTTTCTATAGCACATTTACATTATTCTTTCATCCCATACATTGTGGTTATAAACTACTATTGTAGTCACAGCTGCCCTGGGGTACACTGACAGAAGTAAGGCAACCAGTATGAGCCAATGGCCACTCCGACCACCACCGACCGATGAGTCCAGGCCACATTGCCTAGACTCTTTCTAGGACACAACGACATTCGCCCCACTGTGGAACATGGTGTTCCCAGAGGTCTCCCATCACAGCACTAACCAGGTCCTGCCCTGCCCAGCCTCGGAGGTCTGACGTGATCTGGCTCTCACATGAAAGTCTGGCCACATTTTAGAATCAGACTTAATCACTCAAATTCAGATTCAGATTCATCTTTTTAGCCATTTGCAGTAAAAATACAGTCCCCAGTGTGCACCAGAGGGTACATCAACAGGTTAAAAGTACAGGAATAAAACAAACGAAACAATTGACAGTGACTTCTATGAAACCCTATGCTGGCCTGAGCAGTCTGAACTCTGACTACTCAGATCCTAAAAACACACTCAGTCATGCCTATGGTAACCCTTGGGCAGTTTGGACAGGCCCCTTGTTGCTGGGGAAGTAATCATGACCTATCCAATTGCACTGTAATGGAACTACTGTCACCCACTTAGTGTTCTCCTCTGCCACTATTCTGTGAGCTAACACTAAGTGCACTGGCTTTCATCAGCATTGACCATGGCGCAGCGCCTTTTAACCATCAAATGACTTAATCTTTGGAAATATATCAACGCAGATGACTATTACCAACACATTAGTGAATCACCTAAATGTTTCATAATTCTGTTGTGCTATTTAGATAAGATACACTTTCAATGTCTGCACAGGGAATTTATCTGTGGGATACAGTGCTACACAGGACTGCATATACAAATACACTCAATTAATTTTCTACATACAATAGGGGAAAAGGGCTGTGGTGCTTAAAAGTGTCTGCCTGAATGATAGGAATTCTGTGTGGCGTTTGCATGATCTCCCCGTGTCTGCATAGGTCTCCTCCAGGTGCTCCAGCATGCTCCAAAAACGTGTACAATAGGTCAAAATGCCCAAAAAGCAACAAATTGTAAAGCGCTTTGTGACTGTGAAAGGTGCAATATAAATAAAGATGACTACTTACTTATTTAATATGTCAGTGCACAGATGTTTCAGATGTATGTCCTTATTGCAGCAAAAGCACGACAGAGGGAGGGTCATTCCGCATCTTCACTGTGAGGCAGTGATCCACCCTTCGCACTTCAGGAGCTCCACCAACAGAGAAACCTGGGCCCTTCAAGTTCACGCTTTCTCAGAAGACATCGCTAAGGCCACATTTCTCTCACAGAGATAAATTGTGTATTTATAATTCAAATTCCATGTCATACATGTTGGCTTCAAAATACCTTTTTAGGATGAAACACTTATTCATTAGAATCCGTTGCTGGCTGTGATGAAGTACAAATGGAAAGAGTTGAGGCTCAAAGGTAATGTCTGATACTTTAGTTTTAAAAATGCTACTTGTAACCGCCTCTCTGTGTACTATAATGTAAAGTCAGTGATTCTTATACAAACAGATTAGATCGTCTCACCTTTCCATAGGGCTGGTGCTATGAGACTTGGGTGGCATCTCTGATTGCCACCCCCCTGACCCAGAAATGGATTAAAGGGTAGAAAATGGATGGATGGACCTTTCCATAGTTGTCACACTCTTAACAATCAACCCTTGTTGTCGTCCAGGATGTGTGTCTATGTTGGGAGGAGTCCAGGTACATTTGATGCTCTGCCTCTCTCCATTTTTCAAACTTTACACTAGACATTCAATCATTCAGTTTTGAGTAGAAAGTCAACAAACTGGCCTCTTTTAAGCTGTTTTAAATGAACATTGCAGCGTATTCAACTGAATACATGAATTAGCTATTGTGAATAGCCCCAAAAACCTGATGTCCTTTAAGGTTGAGACTCTTGCAATGTTTACATGAATGATGATAAAATGTATTCTAAGGAATGTATACAAACTACACTGTATTTAATCAAATATTCTTCTAGTTGATTATTTTAGACCATTTTGGAATGGCAGTTTATGATGCTGATTTTGAGCTTGCACAAAGTAATTCACTATTCCCTTTTTATCTGCAAGTTTATAAATCAGGCAGAGGTATTAATGCAATGAAAGAAGGTACCAGAAAGCAGCAGGCTGCTGAAGTATAACATGTATTTTTATCAAGTGTAAATTGAAGACAGCAAAAGATCATACTGATACATAACTTTTATACATGTTGGGGCATAACTTTTTGTCTTTGGTTTTATTGTTTATTTTTATTGCCAATTTGCACTTAATTAGGTTTTACAAACCCTATGCATGTAAAACTTAATGTATTATTGAAGATTGTAGCTACCTGCTTAGTATATGCAAAGTTAAATCTATTACTAAACATTTACACCTTCTTCTCATCATGCCGCATGTCATGCATAAAATATGTGTTTTTCTTGTCATCCTACCTCAATCCTGGAGCTAATAATGGGTCTTCTAATAGAATACATTTTGTAAAAGTTCTGGAAACTAAATAGATCCTTGGTTGTAAGAAAAGTTATTCTTTATATAAAGTGGTGTATTTTATGAGTGTTTGTATGTTTTGCACAATTACACAGTAAATCTTGGTCCACTTGCCTTATTTAATCCATAGCATCCGATTGTCATTTTTCTTTTCAATCTGCACATTGAGTACAATTATGAATGAAATGTAGCCTCCAGCCCACCCAGACATGGTATTATTATTGGACTGTTCTGTGTCTCTGGACCCACTCATGGATGGAGGTGTAAAACATTTCTCTCCAAGGCCAAAGTACATTTACAATAAATAGTGGGTAGTCTCTTGCCTCAAACTCGATAACTATAAAAACAATGTATCACACCGCCCTAATGACCAGGTGCAATACAACAATACTATACGTTCATAGTTATTCAGAATTAATTGTTTCTGAGAAGAGAAAACCGTTCCATGAATCAGTGTTGGCCTCTAACTCTGTGGTGAATTTTTAAGGCACATGTTGAGTTTCCGTTAAGTCCTAGTGATGAGATCTGTCCAGTTCTGACAGCTGCGTCTTTAACTCCCCTTGTCAGTGAAGGCAGAATCTTAAATTCATCAGAGCCTCGGTCCAACCTCATGTCTCTCTTGATAAATGTCTTTGGTCTTCTGTTCATACAGCCTGAAGAACAGCATTGCTCAGAGGGATGTTGTGCAGCACCTTCATAACAATTATTAAAATATATTAAAAAAACGTTTTGGGAATCGTTTTCCCCCTGGGGCATTGTGGTACCCACACACCACTGGCCTAGACTCTGCAGAATAACTAAAAGCACTGCCCAGAGAAATACATACTTTGAAACAAGAGAAAAGTGAGTGATTGGAAAAGGCGCAGGTCTGACGTGGCATGAGGCAATCATCAGTGCAGTCTGAAGGGATCTGACAAGGTTTGATGCTTGAGTTCACCCATGGGCTCCAGGAATTAGTGTGCTCTGCAAAGATAGAATCTCTCACCGCGGACAGTCGCAGTATTCCTTCCCTCCCACTGACGCACATCCATTCTGGGAAGAGAGCGACTAAAGATTCACAGCCCACTGATCAAACACAAGACTGCAGGCACACGCATTCAAGAATGTGTGGCTCAGGGCCTAGTCTGGCTGTAATTTGGTACCTATATATTTAATGATAATTTAATTTGCATAGATAGATCTGTTTAGCTGTGCACACAACTGAAGGACTTTATCTTCACTCTTTTTTAATGTTCTATGATTTTGAGTTGCCCTGTGTATGAACTGTGCAATACAAATTAAGTTGTCTTGCTTTTCCCAGAACGTGCAGATGAATAGATGTATAGAATATAAAACAAAAAACACAATGTGGCGTGTATGTGACCTTGAGACATTTAATCCGTCCTATCGCAGAGCAGTTACAAACATCCATAAAAAGTTGCCCATCAATGTACAGCACACTGCTGCTTTAACCATTCATTATGCAAGAGACTGTGCTCTACTGTTTTCTCGCCCTATGATTTAATCTTCAAAGCCCGTTGTGAGATTGTTAATATAATTGTATTAGACATGAAAACAAAGCGCTCAATTGCAGCCTACTTTATTAACAGCATCACACACCAGGCCGACACCGGACAAAAACGGCTCAGTTTGTTTTCCCGGATTGTTCTGTGGACGTCTGAATGTGATGAGCTTCTGTCAACTTCTTCTTTTTAGATAGTTGTCAAGAGCAAAACATGATTAAATTGTAACATAACAACAAAAACACAGTAAAAGCAAGAACTGTATTGATCTTGTTATGTGCCCTTGCCTGCGCCTTGTATGGTCACATAGTTTGTCCAGTTAGTCTTGACAGCTATGATCAAAACATTTACTCCACTACAAGTAGAGAAGCTGGACTTGAGACGTGCAAGCTGAAGACAACATTTGCCACTTTAGGGTTTTATAGTGACCATAAACTAGGAAAAACACAGTATTAGAGTTTTTAAAATTAGTGTTTCCAGTAAGGTATTTCTTTTCCCCACATACAGTATGCAGTGACTCTATTATATAACTCCTAATTAATCTCACCATCTTCTTGCCCTTCACAGACAGAAACAAATGACCTGCCACTGCAAAACCCTCTATTTGTTCTGGTGGTGTTAGCATGAAGCAGATGTGGTGGATTCTGTCTGTGACAGGGGCTCATAACATGATGTCCAGGTTCATAAGAAGGACAGTGGAAAGAAATGTCCTTTTACAGTAGAATCCCCCTTTTTGCATTTCACATGTATTTTGTTGGCATTTTAATACCATTTTCATTGCTTTGAAACCCGACTAAAATAAGCATGTGCCAAATCTATTACACAAAATTATAAAGCTTGGTCATCCACTTTTTCATAAATACTGTATGTATGTTGTTTGTTATGCTTCATCTGAATGGAAAATATCGTATCTTTTGCATTTTGAAAGAACCAGCCCTGTGACTCACTAACTGACTCGGCACTTTGGGCTGTGAACTGATTTACAATAAATATGAAGGAAATTGTGATTGGGAAAAGTGGAAAGGGCCTTTCCCATGGTACTGATGTCAGAAAATATCCTTATGACGTAGGCACTGCCTCCTCATGCCAATCCAAACAGACATGTGCCCAAAAACTGGCCTGGACTAAATTTCTTGTCGCAGAAAGCGTTTGTTCTTGTGGTGTACGTGCATTTCAAAGATAGTTCTGAGTGACTCAAAGCTGGATACGAAAATATTGTTTTGATGGCTCTTTTGATGAACATTATGTTGACACTGTAATAGTGGCCTACACCAAAGCCGCGCCAGCACCAAACCGCCCCCCACAAACTTTGAAGTCAGACCATATGTTTCATGGTTTTTTCAGTGTAAGACATGAACCTAAATGATAATTCTTATGCTATGGTCATAATATTATCGTTATTTTAAGAATGGAAAGCTTTGCAGAATTATATTTGGAGGTAAGATAAACTAGATCTAGACTGAGTGGGATGAAAAGGCAGACAAGTTGGTTTTTACCCCTCCAAAAACTATGAATCGTGTTTTGGGAGTGGTGGTTGAATGTTGACGTCGGCCTGACCGCTGCTGTGCTCTTGTGGTACTTTCTGTCTCCAGAAACACACCATGTTACTGCTGACACCAGCGTGACTTCAGGACTCAGAGAGGGCTCATGATCGTTAAGCATGATATGTTTGTCATTGAACTCATTTCAGCAATAATTGGAGTTCAATATGTTATATGCTATTCTAATAATTATGAATATGGTTCACTACTGAGAAACATTAAATGATTAATTTGAAGAAGTACGATCCATATAAAGAACATTAAAAAAAAGTCTCATATTTGAGTCTACTGCGTACGGCAACAAAATGGATAATAAATATGTGAAAAACAGTTTTTGTTTCAACTTAAAAGTTACTCTGCAATGGATCACTCCGTGATGAATGAGGGATTACACTGCAGTTCAGCTCCAAATTCTGTTTAGCCTCAGGTCATTGTCCATCTGTGCAGCGTCCACTGAATATTGAAGAACATTTTGGAATTCATTCTGCTGCCCTTGTCAGCAGTCATGTCATCGTTCCATTGGCAGCTACAGTATATGCCACAGCCACCACCATGTTTGGTTTGGATTATGAGCTGCATCTTACTCTTCTCCATAAGATTCTCTTCCTATCACTTCTTATCAGTCGATCTTTGTCTCATCTGTCCAT